GCCGCCTCGTCTCTTTGGACAGGCAGCGGCTTTCCGAGGTCTCGAGCGGAGGCCTTAAGAATCGCCTCGATCCGAATATCTTTCATTGGAGATGCTGAGGACTGAACTGGGGGTGTTCTGCATCAGGGGTCCCCAACGTGGTGCCTGCCGCAGGGCTCTTTTTGTAGCAGGAACTCGTTTGCATATTAGGCAACACACCCCTAATGCAGCCCATCCTCCAAGAGCTTACAGAGCTCTTCTTACAGGAGTGAATGTAAGCTCTTGGAGGACTGGCTACCTTAGGGGTGTGTCGCCTAATATGCAAAGGAGTTCCTGCTACAGAAAGAGCCTGCCGTGGATCCAGGTGGGGTTTTGGCCCAGTAAGGCTCCCGTATTGGCCATTGGAGATCTGATTAGCTGTGCAGAGTTTTAAGGCTGTTGCCTCAACAGCAGCTGCCACCACAATACAAGGTTCTCCGCTGTGCGAAGGACGGTAAGCAGCAGCAGCTATTTTGTGGCTGGCTCCACCTCCTCTGGAAGCCATTTTGTGGCTGCACCCATACTGGGTCAGAATTCCGCACCTGGATGCAGGCTCACAAAGTCTCACATGCTAAGCAGAGATGATGCTACTGAGATAAGGGGTACCAGGAACCTTCCTCGCTCTCTGGTCATCCTCTGAGCGACGGCGCAGAAAGACAAGGTGACCCAGACCACCTTCAAATCAATGTTTCCAGGCACATTAATTGTTGAGCCTGATCTTCTAGCTCAGTTGCATTTCTTGTGACTGGCTGCAGTACTTTTAAGGAGTCTATCCTAAAACCTGCCACTGGAGGGGGGGCATGGCTCAGTGGTAGAGCATCCACTTGGCATGCAGAAGGTCATAAGAACGTCAGAAGAGCCCTGCTGGATCAGACCAATAGTCCATCTAGTTATCCCATCTCACACAGAGGCCAACTAGTTCCTCTGGAGAGACAACAACAGGGCATAGAGGCTGAGGCCCTCCCCTGAGAAGAACATCAGAAGAGCCCTGCTGGATCAGACCAGGGAGGGTCCATCTAGTCCAGCATCCCCTCTCACACGGTGGCCAACCTGGAGGGGTCCAGCAACAGGGCAGAGAGGCTGAAGCCTTCCCCTGATGTCTTCTCCTGGCTCTGGGATTCAGAGGATTAGTGCCTCTGAATGTGGAAGTTCCCCTCAGTCACCATGGCTAGTAGCCATTGATCGAGTTATCCTCCATGAATCTGTCCAATCCCTGTTTAAAGCTGTTTATTCCCATGGCCATCACTACATCCTCTGGCACTGAATTCCACATTTTAATCGCTCTCTGTGTAAAGGAGTATTTCCTTTTGTCTGTCCTGAACCTACTGCCCACCAGCTTCATTGGATGCCCTTGGGTTCCAGTATTTGGAGAGAGGGAGAAAATTTGTCTTGGCATACTCTCTCCACCCCATGTATAATTTCACAAGCCTCCGGGTCCCAGGTTCAATCTCCATTTCAAAGGACCAGGTAGGAGGTGATGTGAAAGAACTCTGCCTGAGACCCTGGAGAACTATGAGGAGGGGCTGTGGCTCAGTGGTAGAGCATCTGCTTGGCATGCAGAAGGCCCCAGGTTCAGTCCCCGGCATCTCCAGCTAAAAAGACCAGGCAGGAGGTGATGGGAAAGACCTCCACCCAAGACCCTGGAGAGCTGTAAAGGGAGGCTGTGGTTCAGTGTTAGAGCATCTGTTTGGCATGCAGAAGGTCCCAGGTTCAGTCCCCGCCATCTCCAGGTAAAACGGACCAGGCAGTGGGTGATGGGAAAGACCTCCGCCTGAGACCCTGGAGAGCTGTCAAGAGGGGCTGTGGCTCAGTGGGAGAGCCTCTGCTTGGCATGCAGAAGGGCCCAGGTTCAATCCCCGGCATCTCGAGTTGAAAGGACCAGGTAGTAGACGATGGGAAAGACCTCTGCCTGAGACCCTGGAGAGATGCTGCCAGTCTGAGTAGACAAGACTGACCAGGATAGACCAACGACCTGATTTCAATATTTATTTGTTTCATTAAATTTTTACCCCGCCCTCCCAGCAAAGCCGGCTCAGCTTCGTGTGAGATCCTTTGAAAGCAGGCCCTTCCACCAACAATCTTCTGCTCCTAGAAACCCTGCTCACGGGTCTCCTTCTACATGAAGGACAGCCCGTTAAAATCTGAAGTGTAACTAAGAAGCACCGAAGGCCTCTGGCTGAACTGTATTCTAAGCCACGGACCTTCGTGCCGGACAAATGCTCCTCCCTGAGACGGGCCAAAGCAGAGAAGACAGGCGCTATCCGTCTCCCCTCAAAACAGCTCTGGAGACGATCAATCCCTGCCGCCCAATGCCTCGGGAGGGCTACCGTCTCGCCTCGCAACTCCTTCCTACTGGGTCTTCATTTATATCCGCTTGTCTCCTGCAGCCGCTCAGTCTCGCACGGGAAAACGGAAGAGGCTTCTCTGACTGCTCGCCATCTTTTAGGGAGAGGCACCTCGATGCATGAGGGCCGTTGGCTTCCAAACGGTCGGTGGGGCCTTCGGAAATCGCTAAGGCCTGTTCCTCCGGGTGGTTCTGCCTTCCATTTTTATCAGTTTCAAGCGGTGAGAAGGGGAAGGACACTTGTCCCCTGCTAGAGGTGCCAAGATGGGGTGTCCCCAGCCTTTTCGAGCCCATGGGACACCTCTGGAATTTTAACACAGTGTGGTGGGCGCAGCCACAAAATGGCTGCCGGAGGAGGCAGAACCGGCCACAAAATGGCTGCCAGAGGAGGCGGAACAAGCCACAAAATGGCTGCCGGAGGAGGCAGAACCAGCCACAAAATGGCTGCCACATTGAAGGTCCATCCACAGCGCTGGTAGCTACAGCCAAAGAAACGTTTTTTAAAGATCACCATGTCCAATCAAATCTCTGGTGGGCACTCTAATGTCTTGCTGGGCAAAAAGAAGAAGAGACTGGATTTATACCCCACCCTTCACTACCCAAGGGAGGCTCAGAGCGGCTTACAATCTTCTTTCCCTTCCCCTCCCCACAACAGACACCCTGCTGTGAGGTAGGTGGGGCTGAGAGAGCTCTGACAGAACCTGCTCTTTTTCAAGGACAGCTCTGACAGAACTGTGGTTTGCCCAAGGTCACACCAGCAGCTGCACGTGGAGAAGTGGGGAATCAAACCCGGTCCACGCACTTAACCACTACACCCACCTGGCTCTGCCCGCTTTCTAAAAACACTTGGCGGGGGCAGTGAAACGTGATCGGGGACCTGTCTGCTCAGAAGTGCCAAGATGAGCAGGAAAAGGGGCTTGAAATGCAGTCGTTATTTCCAGAATCCAAAGTGGAATCTATGCAGAACCCGCTGGTGCCAGATGGTAGAAATTTAGAAGCTATCTTGGTCCACATCAGCTGCTCCGACCGGCAATCTTTCTGAGTGGAGACTGTGGTGGTCTTCTGCCCGCAAAGCCCCCACAACCACTGGGCTATCCTTTCCCTTCCCGGATGCATGGGTAAGAAGGAAAAACAACGCACAAGGATCCAAGTGAACAGCAGAAGCCCTGTGGGATCAGGCCAATGGCTCATCCAGTCCAACACTCTGTGTCACACAGTGGCCAAAACCCAGGGGCCATCAGGAGGTCCACCAGCAGGGCCAGAACTCCTGAAGCCCTCCCACTGTTGCTCCCCAAAGTGCCAAGAATACAGAGCATCACTGCCCCAGACATAAGAACGTAAGAGAAGCCATGTCGGATCAGGCCAATGGCCTCTCCAGTCCTACTCTCTGTGTCACACAGGGGCCAAAACACAGGTGCCATCAGGAGGTCCACCAGTGTGGCCAGAACTCCAGAAGCCCTCCCACTGTTGCTCCCCTAAGCGCCAAGAATACAGAGCATCTCTGCCCTAGACAGTGTTCCATCAATACATTGTGACTAACAGCCACCGATGGACCTCTGCTCCAGATGTTTCTCCAATCCCCTCTTGTCTATGCTTGTAGCTGCCACCACTTCCTGCGGCTGTGAATTCCACGTGTGAATGACTCTTTGGGTGAAGGACTGCCTTTGATCTATTCAAAGCCAACTGCTCATTCAATTCCTTGAGTGCCCACGAGTTGTGCGAAAGAAGAAAGGAACATCTTTCTCTGCCTTCTTCTACCTACCCTGCTAGAATGTTTTGTCAAGTGTGCCTCCGTAACCACGGAAATGTGATAGATTTGCATGCAGACCCCGTGACACCCAACTATGGACCCTCTCGTTGTGCGGAGTCAAAAACCCTGGGCCACCCCTCCCCGAAGGCACCTAATATGCTCTACTGATGCTATGTTCCTTTAAATAAGAGGGGAAAAAATGAAAAAGCAATTTTTAATTTTTTAAAATGAGACTCCGTGTGGTGTAGTGGTTAAAGCGGGGAACTGGGAAGCCCAGGTTTGAATCCCCACTCGTGCCATGGAAGCTCTGCTGGGTGCTATACCTCGGGCAAGTCACACACTCTCAGCCTAACCTACCTCGCAGGGTTGTTGTGAGGATAAAACTGAGGAGAAAGTACAATGACATAAGTCACTTTGGATCTCCACTGGGGACAAGAAGAAGAGATTGGATTTCTACCCGGCCCTTCACTACCCGAAGGAGTCTCAGGGTGGCTTACAATCTCCTTTCCTTTCCCCTCCCCACAACAGACACCCTGGGAGGGAGGTGGGAGAGCTCTTTCGAGGACTGGTCTTGAGAGAACAGCTCTGAAAGAACTTGTAATGGACCCAAGGTCACACCAGCAGCTGCATGTGGAGGCGTGGGGAATCAAACCCGGTCCTCCCATATTGGAGTCCGCGCTCCTAACCGCTGCACCAAAGTTGTGATATAAATAAACTAAATAAAATTTAAAATTAAGAAAAGGATCGTACACCCCACCAGCGGCAACATGGACTCTGCGCGCAGCGTGAAAATAAAAAGGGAAATGGAACCGAGAGGTATAAATTAAACTATTAACAGAAGTAACTTGTTTTATTTTCTTTTTTAAAAAGGAACAAACGTTTTGGGGTTTTGTAAGATGCAGCACTGGCTGTGCTCCCGTTTCGGGAGAGGTGGTCGGGAACAGAAACATTCAGGGGAAGTCAACACACAACGCCAAAGAGGGGTGCCCCGCCTCGGTTACCATCTCAGCTCCCCCACTTGACAACAGGTTAAAAAAAATATATCAAAATCCTGTTTTCCGGCCTCCGAATCTGTCCGACTTCCACGTAAGGGACGTTCAGAGCAGGATGAGGGCCAGCATCCTCCACGTCCGCGCCGACGTTGCCTTCAGTCAACGCTTTCTCGTGGATTCGAGGTCTCCTTCGCCCCGCTTTGGAGCGTGAGACGGATCGCAAAGTGTTTTCTCTGAGGCTGTCCCTACCGGCAGCGTCGCGACGCTGGGGAGAGGGAGGCGGGCCTTGGCGTTGCCTCCTTCCGCGTTTTGGGTCCTCTGCTCTGATCCCTGCCTCATACCGTTGCTTCCATGTGCAGAATCTTCAAGGCCTCCGAAATTTGGGAGCTGGTGTCGATCTGCCCGTACATCCCAACCAGGAAGGCCCGGTGCAGCAACACGGCTGCGTGCTCTGGGAGGAGGGAAACCACACGTTAGGAACACAAGAGAGGCCAGTGTTGGATCAGGCCCATGGCCCATCCAGTCCAACACTCTGGGTCACACAGTGGCCAAAAATACCAGGTGCCATCAGGAGGTCCACCAGTGGGGCCACGACACTAGAAGCCCTCCCACTGTTGCCCCCCACCCCAGCACCAAGAATACAGAGCATCCCTTGCCCCAGCCTGAGAGTTCCTATCTATACCTGGTGGCTAATAGCCACCGATGGACCTCTGCTCCATATACTTATCTAATTCCCTCTTGAGGCGTCCGTGCTTGTAGCCGCCGCCACCTCCTGTGGCAGTAAATTCCATGTGTTCATCACTCTTTGGGTGAAGAAGGATTTCCTTTTATCCATTCTAACCCGACTGCTCAGCAATTTCAGCGCGTGCCCACAAGTTCTTGTATTGTAAGGGAGAAAAGTACTTCTTTCTTGACCTGCTCTTTCCCATGCATAATCTTATAAACCTCAATCATGTCACCCCTCAGCCGTCGTTTCTCCAAGCTAAAGAGCCCCAAGCGCTTGAACCTTTCTTCACTGGGAAAGTGTCCCAACCCTTTCATCATTCTAATTGCCCTTTTCTGCACTTTTCCCAATGCTATAATATCCTTTTTGAGGTGTGGTGACCAGAACTGTACACAGTACTGCAAATGAGGTCGCACCATTGATTTATACAAGGGCATTATGATACTGTATACAGAAGATCCCTCTGAAGTAGAATGCCCTGCCCTGCATGCTGCCCGGCATTCAGACAGACTGCCTCTGAACACGGAGTCTCTATTTAAGATCTCCTGGCTAACATTGACAGACCTTTCCTTGCTGAATTTGCCTAAACCACCAGTCCCGGCAGGGGTAGTGGGACGGGAGTTGTCAACATCAGAGAACGGCTCTCGGCTTCTTCCAGACTTTCCTGGGAATACCTGCCTGGCCGCACCGGGCAATTTTGGATTTTTCTGCCAGACCGTAACCTGAGCTGGCCCCAATCTGTGGATTTTTTTATCCGCCCAGAGGCCGGCCTTAGGCTATTAACTATAAGGGACATGGGGGGACAGGACTGAAGTATCTGAAGGGAGCTGTTCCTGTTGGCAGCAGAGGAGAGGACTCTCAATCAATGTTCCCACTAAGCTGAGTTAGTGTGAGCTAGCTCACAGTTTTTTAGCCTCCCGGCGACACGTTTTTGCCTTCGCTCAGGAAGGATATGGCTCCAGGACAAACTAATTTATGCAGTAGCCAAATCGCTTGCTCGCAACTTTGATGCGAGTAGCTCACAAAGCAGAATTTTTGCTCACAAGACTCCACACCTTAGAGGAAGCATTGCTCTCAATAATGGATTTAAATTAAGGGCGGGAAGGTATATGGTTGGTTAGGAGGAAAAACTCTTTGACAGTCAGAGTTGTGCCACAGTGGAATGGGCTGCCTCGGGAGGTGGTGAGTTCCCCCTCCCTGGCAGTCTTGAAGCTGTTGTACATATTCCCATTCATACTACAAGGCAGTGGCTGGACAAACACTGGCCAGTGATCCTCTAGGGCTGATCCTGCATTGAGCAGGGGGTTGGACCAGATGGCCTGTCTGGTCCCTCCCAACTCTGTGACTCTATGATTCTATAGTCATTCCATCACAACTGCCTCATTCACCAAAGGGATTCAGAGGGATATCAGAACTGGGCACATAGCTTTATTCCCTTCGCCCATTATTTACCCTGTTGTGGATTGTTTGTGTCTGACAGCAAGGGAGGAGTTCAAGGTCATCCAGTGAGATCTAACACCTGTGGGGGAACCCTAACCCTAACTCAGCCCCCCCCCCCCCCCCCACACAAATCAGCCCCGACGTTTTAGCCACTGCTACCCTGCTGGTTCTCCGGTGACCTGGATTCACCGATAAGTCACACTCAGCAGAGGCGCAATCTACTGAACAGACACCTTCTTTAATTTCTGGGGCTGCTCTCGTCCTGCTGGGGCGACGGCTGCGGAATTTCCCCTTGTACTGTTCAAAGGTTCATTTTTATTTTTATTTTAAATCTATCAGGAAGGACAGAGAACGAGTTGAGACACGCTCCACCGGGGCTGCCAAATATCAGAATCATCTCGGCCCGATGGGAACCTCTGCCAATATTTGCCAGGGATCAAAGGAAAGGTTGCCAGCTGACATTTGGACCAAAACACACAGCCTGTGATGCCCCTGCCCCCCTGCCAGGCACGCTCGGCAAGCATTTGTCAGGAAGGAGAGCTGCAAACCAGATTCAAAGTCCGCACCCAACCTCTGAAGCGCTGCGGGGAAAAGGCACTTCTGGCCCTCTGGGGCTTTTTGGCACCTAAATGTCACCTGCCTTTTAGAAAAAAACTTAGGACATCGGAAAAGCCAGTCTGTAAGAGCATTGGGGGGGGGGCCCCCACGGGGAAATCAAGCATGGAAAGTAAACTACAAGGTGGATCCACGTAGAAAACATAACAACATAGGAAGAGCCCTGCTGGATCAGACCAATAGTCCATCTACTCCAGCATCCTGTCTCCTCTGGAAGGCCAACGACAGGGCATGGAGGCTGAGGCCTTCCCAAGAAGAGCATCAGAAGAGCTCTGCTGGATCAGACCACTAAGGGTCCATCCAGTCCAGCATCCTGTCTCACGCAGGGGCCAACCAGTTCCTCTGGAGGGCCAACAACAGGGCAGATAGGCCGAGGCCTTCCCCTGATTAGAATATCAGAAGAGCCTTGCTGGATCAGAGCAGTGGTCCATCTAGTCCAGCATCCCGTCTCAAACAGGGGCAAACCAGTTCCTCTGGAGGTCCAGCAACAGGGCACAGAGGCTGAGGCCTTCTCCTGATAAGATCATCAGAAGAATCCTGCTGGATCATACCAGTGAGGGTCCATCTAGTCCAGCATCCCGTCTCACACAGTGGCCAGCCAGTTCCTCTAGAGGGCCAACAACAGGGCAGAGAGGCCGAGACCTCCCCCTGAAAGGAACCTCAGAAGAGTCCTGCTGGATCAGAGCAGTGGTCCATCTAGTCCAGCATCCTGTCTCACACAGGGGCCAACCAGTTCCTCTGTACAGTCAACAGCAGGGCACAGAGGCTGAGGCCTTCCCCGGATGTTGCCTCCTGGCACTGGGATTCAGAGGATTAGTGCCTCTGAATGTGGAGGTTCCCCTCAGCCACCATTGCTAGCAGCCATTGAGAGACTTATCCTCTATGAATCTATCTCATCCCCTTTTGAAGCTCTTTTATTCCTGTGGCCATCACTACATCCTCTGGCACTGAATTCCACATTTTAATCCCTCTCTGCGTAAAGTTGTATTTCCTTTTGTCCGTCCTGAACCTACTGCCCATCAACTTCATCGGATGCCCTTGAATTTTCTTCTTTTGGGAGAGGGAGAAAAAGTTCTCTTTGTCAACTCTCTCCACCCCGTGCCTAATTTTATAAACGTTTTAGATTTTCTTGGGGCAGAGAGGGGGGGAAAGAGGCTGACAAAAAGACAAAAGGAACCGGTTTAGCGACCAAGGGTGGCCCCAGAAAACATCTCGTAAAGCGCAATCAATCTGCAGGTGGTAGCGGATAGCAACACTCTGGGGGATGCCTCTGAGCGATGGGGGTGGGTGGGTGGGTTTGGTGTCAGCCAAGATCTCAATATACCGTGTCCAAAATTCAATAATACCATTGCTCTTATCCCCCCCCCCCTTAGCTGGCTCTTGAGTGCCAGCATCGCAGTCAGTGGGTTGGACTCAGATCTGGGAGACCGAGTTCGAATCCCCACTCATGCCATGGAACCTTGCTGGGTAACCCTGGGCCGGATATGCACTCACCCTAACCAATGCTCCCTCTAAGCTGCGGAGTCCTCTGAGCAAAAATTCTGCTTTGTGAGCTACTGGCATTAAAGTGGTGAGCGAGCAATTTGGCTTCTGCATAAATTAGTTTGCTCTGGAGCCCACCCTTCTTGAGCGGAGACAAAATGTGTGAGCCGGAGGCTAGAAAAACTGTGGGCTCGCTCACACTAACTTGGCTTAGAGGGAACACTGATCCCTAACCTACCTCACAGGGTTGTTGTGAGGATAACACGGAGGAAAGAATGACGTAAGGTGCTTTGGGTCCCTTTTGGGGAGGAAGGCAGGGTATAAATGAAGCGTTATCGGTCTAACTCACCTTGGCAAAGGAGGGTATATTCCGGCAGGTTCCTCAGGGCCGTCTGAACGACCTCGAAGTCACGGCAGCCGAGGCAGTACATGAAGGTGGGAAGGAAGTCGGCCGCGATGCTGGAAACCCAAAACGGACAAATGCTGAAAAGGCGTCTGGGAGGGACTTGACCTCACTGTCGTGGTCTCGGGCCAGACCGGAGCATTCCGGGACATAGGCAGGGGCCTGCAGTTCTGACAGGCTACGAGGCGGAGGCCTTCCTCACCGCCTCTGGGCTGGTTACAAGTTTATAAAAAGGGGCACCATCGTGGCTGGCGCTCCCTCCTCCTCCCCCCTCTCCAACTATGCTCCCACCTACCCTCCCCCATGAGAAGAGGACAAAGTTGAAATTAGATGCCCCAACGCCATCTGAATGCTGCTAGATGTGAAACTGTTTTAATTAGTTTTTAAACTGCTGGAATTGTTCTGAAGATACATTTTGTATTGTCGTTGCTCATCGCTCAGCGCCCTGAGTGCTCAGGGACCGAGCGATTTAGAAATCTAGATGATAAATGATATATGCTTAAAAGAACATCTGCACGAACTTTTATCATTTACTACATTGGTTCATTCAGCGCCTCATTTAAAATAATTTTTTTTAAACTGCAAAATGTCGTAAAACTACTCCGGAATAATAGGAGGGAGGGGCGGAAGGGATACAACTGTCAGACAATCAGCAGCGTGCACAGCCAGCCATCGACCAATCAGCGATGAGCACAGCCAGCTGTCGGCCAATCAGTGATGTGTGCAGACAGCCGCTGGCCAATCGGCAACGTGCGCAGCCCCTGTGTTCCTTGCTAAGGGGGCTAAAACAGGAGCACCAGTGATGCTTTCAACTCTCTCCAGGCACCAAGTTTCGTGTCTTACGAATGTGGGTCAAAGCTCCCCCCTCCCACTTTAGAAAGCAGAAATAGGGAAGAAACTTTGGAGGCATGTTTTCACCCAAGGAGATCCTCCGTGATGGCAGACGGGGAGGAATATACGGGCGGCACACTCTTCCTGAAAGAAGATTTCTAAATCCTCAAAGGGAGTATATTGTCACACCTGTTCTCATCCCTTTCCCGCCCACTGCGCCACCTTCGCCTCTTACCTGGGGTTGTTCTGGATGGAGCGGAGGGCGAGGCAAAAGGCCAGCTTCCGGCAGGTCTCCTCGGGAGAGCTCATCAGCCTTTGCAGGTGAGTCTGGGGGGGGGGGTAGGTGGCAGGAGAAACAGAGGCACTTAGAGAGGACCTTCCCGAAACACAAAATGTGGCACCACTTGGGGTGGTGTAGCGGGTAGAGGAACGGACTAGGATCCGGGAGACCCGGGTTCGAATCCTTACGCTGCCACGGAGGCTCACTGGGTAACCTTTGGCCGGTCAGTCTTTCCCAACCGAACTGACCTCACGTGACTCCAGGAGGACCAATAAGGTCCCAATTGGTTCAATGAACATTTCCAGTTGCGGTTCCTAACTGAGAGCAGACTGAGGTGTTCTTTGCTCCCCTCCGGGCATGCAGATCCTCCCAGAGTCTCACATTCCCAAATGTTATCAAAACCATTCGCTTCCTGCTACATGCATCCCTCTCCGCTAGAGATCGATCTCGGGCCCTTCTGCGTAGGGCTGCTGTTCTCAGCCTAACCTACCACATAGAGAAGAAGAAGAGGAGATTGGATTTATAGCCCACCCTTCACTCGCAGTCTCAGAGTGGTTTACAATCTCCTTCCCCTTCCCCTCCCCACAACAGGCACCCTGTGAGGTAGGTGGGGCTGAGAGAGCTCTCTCGAGGACTGCCCTTGAGAGAACAGCTCTGAGAGAACTTGTCACTGACCCAAGGTCACACCAATAGCTGCATGTGGAGGAGTAGGGAATCAAACACGGTTCTCCCAGATTAGAGTCCGCGCACTTAACCACTACATCAAACTGGCTCTCCTAAAAGTTGTTGTGGGGATAAATAGGAGAAGACGGGAACGATGTAAGCCCCCGGGGGTCCCCACTGGGGGAAAAGGCAGGGTATAAATCAGTAAATAAAACAAAATAAATCTTCCTAGAAGGTGGGCTTGTGTGTCTCTCAGTTTATCTACTTGAAGAAGAAGAGATTGGATTTATACCCCGCCCCTCACTACCCGAAGGAGTCTCAGAGTGGCTCACAATCTCTTTTCCCTTTCCCTCCCCACAACAGACACCCTGTGAGGTAGGTGGGGCTGAGAGAGCGCTCTTTCGAGGACTGTTCCTGAGAGAACAGCTCGGAGAGAACTTGTGACTGACCCAACATCACACCAGCAGCAGCATGTGGAGGAGGAGTGGGGACTCAAACCCGGTTCACCACACCAAACTTGGCTCTCTTGCAGGGACACGTCAGGTGCCCTGCACTCCTAGCAGCTACCAGGCAAGAAAAGCGGGAAAATAAGCTGACCGCTGAGAGCAGTCTACTAAAGTTCCCAGCCCACAAAACATGACTAGTCTGTACCCCAACCTGTCTATGTCACACAATGGAAGAAGCAGCCAGCCAAATCTCTTCCCCCGCTGAAAAAGCTTCCCTAATCGCTTATGGGAAAACCTTTGTTCGCCACAGGCGATCTATTGTTTTGGTCAAAGGGGTTAGCAGCGTGGTAAACCCTCCCCCTAAAAGACTGCCAAAATGCCCCAGCCCGGGGAGATCCAAAGGGAGGGATGTAAATCAGATTCAAACATGAAAAAAGCCATGCACAGGGAACAGCGACTACGTACGGGAAAGAAGGAGAGGATTTCAGGCCTCCGCCGGGACATCTCGTCGATGTCGGTCAGCACCTCCAGGATATCTGGGACGCGGGAGAAAAAAGGAGGAAACCAGACAGCTGTCAATTTCGTCTGCAAAACCTGGAGAAACTGATAGACCTCCTCGGAATTTCGGCCCGTTCCGACTTCTACGAAACCGGACTGGTTCGCTGCAAGACTACGGGAAGTCCTGAAATCGGTGCTCGTGGGTGCCGCTCAGAACGGAGCCGATTGGCAGGTTAAATAGTGGCTGGGAGATTCCTCCAAAGCAACCTCCCCCATGCAAGAATCCCCCGTGTGTGTGTGTGTTTGTGTGTGTGTGTGTGAAGGAGTAAATAATCCAATGCTTCTACCAGGGGCATCGGTCTGAACTGCTATCAGGTGTGCAAACATCAGCATTTGGAACATTTATCGCTCCCCTCAACTGCCATTGTGCAGGGCGGCTTGAAGCAGAACCTTCCCTGCGTGCAAAAAGAGACGGCGGCCCGTTGCCCGTACCTTCCACGGTCTGCCCTCTGGAGAGCCTCTTCATATAGGGGGCCATTTCTGCCGGGGTGAGCAGGGTGAACAGCGAGACGCTGACCAGGGGCAGAGATCCCGCTGCGGCCTCATCTAGACAACGAAAGGAAGGTTATTTTTGTCGGGGCGCACGACTGCACTCTAGCGCCACCTCCGCAGGTGGCCGAAAGGCGGGACTGCAGCCACCGACTTGGCAGGTGTCACGTGACCCCAGGAGGGCCAATAGGGTTCCGCCTGGCCCGATAAACGTTCCCACTTGTGGTTCCTAAGTGTGAGCCAGACAGAGGGGGTTCTCTGTGCCCCTATGGGTGCTCAGACCCTCCTGAAGTCCCACACTCCCAAATGTTATTAAAACCATTTGCTGCCTGCTACATGGGTCACTCTCCGCTAGAGATCGATCTCGGGCCCTTCTGCACGGAGCTACCCCCTGAACCCGAACTCAGCCAGCGACCACGAGACTCACCGTCTTTTTCACTGTCGGCTCCCCGGTCGGCAGCGCCGTTCGTGGTGGGCAGGCTCAGCCCCGCCAGGAGGGACTTCAGCATCGCAAGATCGTTGTTATCCGATGAGAGGTCACTGGGGAGAAAGGGCATGACGGAATAAGAACAGAAGTTCCAAGCGTCGCGCAGAAATCCTAAGTCAGCGTTCTTATCTCCGTATTGCAGATGGGGGGGGGGGGAAGAGGGGGTTGAGAAACCGTAGCATGGCCGATCCTCTCCGCCCCAGAGTTCACTGGCAGGCTGCACATTCGAACCCATAACTTCCCGGCTCACAGTCCACTCTCTTCACACTCATTTGCTTCATTTATACCCCACTGTCTCTCCCCACAGTGGTGACCCAAATCGCCTTACATAGTCCTCCCCCCCTCTGTTTCACCCCCACAACAACCCTGTGAGGTAGGTCAGGTCAAGATTATCTGTTACCAGATTCATCCTGCACTCTGAGCTTGAGGGGCCCTTCTTTCTCAAAGGCACAAACAAAAACGGGTACTATTCGATTTCAGCAGCGGTGAGTCACGTTACCTATAAGCTGCGGGGAGCGTTGCGATCAGTGTTCCCTCTAAGCTGAGTTAGCGTGAGCCAGCTCACAGTTTTTTAGCCTCCGGCTCACACGTTTTCGCCTTCGCTCAGGAAGGAGGGCTCCACAGCAAACTAACTGATGCAGAAGCAAAACTGCTCGCTCATAACTTTAATGCCAGCAACTCACAAAGTTGAATTCTTGCTTGCAAGAAGAACAGGAGGAGGAGGAGATTGGATTTATACCCCGCCCTTCACTACCCAAAGGTGTCTCAAAACAGTTTACAAACTCCCTTCCCCTCCCCACAACAGTCGCTCTGAGACTCTGAGTGAAGGGCGGGGTATAAATCCAATCTCTCCTCTTCTTCAGGGAAATGCCAATTGCCACTTTGGGGTCAGGAAGCAATTTTTCTCCAGGCCAGTTTGGCTGGGGATCCTAGAGGTTTTTTCCCCATCTTCTGGGCATGGAGCAGGGGTCACTGAAGGTGTGTGTTTGTGAATTTCCTGCATGGTGCAGGGGGTTGGACTAGATGACCCTGGAGGTCCCTTCCAACTCTATGATTCCACGATTCTAAAACCAGACAGCCCAAACAGCTGTCCTAGCTCTCTAGGAACAGTCCTGACTTCTCCTCGGGAGAGCCAGCATCATCATCGCTGGAGAGGATGAATGTGAGAGGTCTGTGTTCAAATCCTATCACCAGGTTTTTGGGGTCAGGGGCAAGAAGTTCTGGACTTTCTCTCCCAGCCGAGGTTACTGGGAGGTCGAAAGAACCATCCGACTTCTGAAATTTGGTTCTATTACCCACCCTAAGACCACTGGCAGGAGTCAAGACCCTCCCTGCGTTCGGCAACACAACTGCAGAACGGAATTCCAACAGTGCCGTTTGTGGAACAGAAAAGGGGTCCCGGGTTGGGGGAAGACCAGAAGGGCCCCCCCGAATCCGAAACGTTTGCGGACTGCTGGATTCGCCACTCAACCGGGGCATTCCACTTCCGCAGCCTCCCGATGTCCTTCGGCACCCTCCCGCCCCCGATTTCCAAATTGCACACCCGAAAGCAGAGTTGGGGTACCGACAAAGAGGGCCCCCCGGACGGGGTACGTACTGGAGAGGGTCCGAATGCTTCTGCAGGAACAAGATGGCTGCCTGGGCGTTGGAGGTGACGTACTTGTGGATGAACTGCACGAACTTGGAGATGAAGGCTGCCAGATGGCGGGAGGATTTCCGGTAGCTCTGGAACGGAACGGGGAAGGGAGGGATTCCAGAAGCTCCCCAGTCTTCCCCCCCCCCCCCCCCCCCTCCCCCCCCCCCCCACGCCTCCCAAACGCACATGGAAATCGGGCTAGCTCACTGCGAGCTACGCTCTCCCAAACTGCAGCTGTGAGGCTGGGGAGGTGCAGACTGCTCGCATACTCCCTACACAAGCTACCAGCCTTCTAATGCCGCCGTACCGTACGAATTGGCAAGATTTGAACTCAGGGCACCCCCCCACCGATGTGTTCGTCCCCTCCACAGCAATGGCACGGTCCCCCCTGCTCTTCCCTCGCCCACTCTCCAAGCCAGACGGGAAGAGAAGCGTTTTTCTGGGTGGGTTGGGAGGCGCTTTGGCATTAAGCAGATGAGATGGGAAAGACGGATCAGGGAATCCCTGCTTCAGTCTGGAGGTTGCATAATTTGCTGTTCTTCCGTACCAAAAAATAAATAAATAAAATTCGTCTGCAGAGAGGAAGGCAGGGGCAAGGGTTCAAATTCTGCCCCCCTTGAAAACACGACGTTTCCACATGCAGGGGAATTTAAACCCATTGCATTCCACAAACCAACCCTCGGGGGGGGGGGTGTCTGGATACACAGGCGCATGGGCACAAAGTCCCAGCCGGTTACCAGAGGTCTGCTTCCCCTGCCTGATGTCTGCTATAGGGCATCCGTCATGCTTTGGGAACCTAGGGCCGCCAAGGAGCAGCTAAGGCTCAGTGCATCTGCTTCGCATGTGGATGATCCCAGGTTCGATCCCCGGCATCTCCAGTTAAAAGGACCAGATGAGAGTTGATGGGAAAGACCCCGTTGATCTCAGACCTTACATATGAACATATGACGCTGCTTTGGTCCATCTAGGTCAGTACTGTCAACTTAGACTGGCATCTGCTCTCCAGGGTCTCAGGCGGAGGTCTTTCCCATCACCTCCTGCCTGGTCCTTTTTAACTGGAGATGCCGGGGACTGAACCTGGGACCCTCTGCATTCCAAGCAGAAGCTCTTCCACTGAGCCACAGCCCCTCTTTACAGCTCTCCAGGGTCTCAGGCGGAGGTCTTTCCCATCACCTCCTGCCTGGTCCTTTTAACTGGAGATGCCGGGGATTGAACCTGGGACCTTCTGCATGCCAAGCAGACGCTCTACCACGGAGCCACAGCCCCTCTTCACAGCTCTCCAGACTCACAGGTGGAAGTATTTTCCCATTATCTCCTGCCTGGTCCTTTTAACTGGAGATGCTGGGGATTGAATTTGGGACCTCCTGCCTGCCAAGCAGAGACTCTTCCACTGAGCCACAGCCCCTCTTTACAGCTCTCCAGGGTCTCAGGCGGAGGTCTTTCCCATCACCTACTGCCTGGATTTTTTTAACTGGAGATGCTGGGGATTGAACCTGGCACCTTCTGCATGCCAAGCAGAGGCTCTTCCATTGAGCCACAGCCCCTCTTTACAGCTCTCCAGGGTCTCAGGCGGAGGTCTTTCCCATCACCTACTGCCTGGACCTTTTTAAACGGAAGATGCTGGGGACTGAACCTGGGACCTCCTGCATGCCAAGCAGAGGCTCTACCGCTGAGCCACTGAGCCCTCCCCTTGGAAAGCTACTGCCCGTCTGAGTAGGCAATACCGGCGGTGATGGACCCAGGGTCTGACCCAAGAGGAGGCAGCCTCCTGCGCGTTCCAGAGAGCGCTCTTTCTCACCAGAAGCAGGTGGATGAAGGAGAGCAGACAGTCCCACAGCGCCCCCTGGTGCTCGCTCTGGAAGACCTGCGGCTGGAGGAGCTCCAGGATCCCCAGGACGTGGCTGAAGAAGGCGAGGTGGTTCTGCTGGCGGAACTCCTGGAAGTTGAGGTGGACCCGGCCGTGGAGGAGGGCCGCGATCATCGGCAAGTGCCTGGGAAGACGGACGGGAGAAGAAAACGAACATCTAAACAAAGATCCTCCTCGGGACGCCCCAGCGACAGGTAAATGGCCACAGCTAGGATCCCCCAGCCCTTTTGAGCCTCCAGGCGCCTTTGGAATTCTGACACAGCGTGGTGGGCTCCGGCACAAAATGGCCGCCACAGGAGGCGGGGCCAGTCGCAAGATGGCCACCACAGGAGGCGGGGCCAGCTTGCCTTCAGTCTATTTTGCCTTCTGCTTTCATGTTTATTATTTGTGATTTTAATTAGAACATAGAACATAAGAGACGCCAATGTTGGATCAGGCCAAAGGCCCATCCAGTCCAACACTCTGTCACGCAGTGTCCAAAAATACCAGTGGGGCCAGGACACCAGAAGCCCTCCCACTGTTGCCCCCCCAGGCACCAAGATGACAGAGCATCACCTGCCCCAGAGTCCCTATCTATACCTTGTGGCGAATAGCTACTGATGGACCTCTGCTCCATATGCTTATCTAATTCCCTTTTGAAGTGGATCAACTGTGAATATATCAACTGTATTTATTACTGTTTATAGTGTTGTAAATCACCCAGCGCTTGCCCTGCGGGGTGGGCTATTCATAAGTTTAATAAAATGAAATAAAAATAAATAAGTCACGCAGTGAACATCCTTGTGCTGTGGTGGCGGCTGCTGTCAAAGCAACCTTTTCAAAAACCTGCGCCGCCAATCAGCTCTCCAGTAGCCAATCAGAAGACTTGCGGAGCAAAAGTCCCACCTGGCCCTACCCACTTGGGCACCAGGAAAGGTGTCGGCGGGCACCAGGGTGCCCACGGGGACCATCCCCAGGCATTGACCGAGGCAGCAGGCGCAGACACGGGTCAAGCTTCTGCCCATGGTGCTGGTTCTCCGGAGCCGGATATTAGGGGGAACGGGAAGCATGAGACGGCCGCTCTGCCCCCCAGTCCCCATGCCAGTCCTTGCCGTGTGATGCAACATCTTCTGGAACTGGGGGAGGGGGACCAGGGGGCCCTTCCAACACAAGGAGTATCCTCAAATGACAAGTAACCGAGTAAGTGAGGATTAACCCTGACGGTGCTGTGAGCCTTAAGAGGCCCGACAAAACTGAGACTCTCTGGGCATCTTGGAAAATAACACAGCTCCTGTAAGCTTTGGCAGGCTAGAGTCTACTCTGTTAGGTTAAGGAAGAGGTAGCTGGAATGGGCCTGTACATTTAAATGTGGGTGGAAAAGGGGGAAGAGAACGATACATGGTTAAGGATAGGATAAAATTGTTTAACAGAACCCCTAGGTTGGTGTAGTGGTTAAGTGCGCGGACACGATCTGGGAGAACCGTGTTTGATTCCCCATTCCACCATGTGCAGCTGCTGGTGTGACCTTGGGCCAGTCACAAGTTCTCTCAGAGTGGTTCTCTCAAGCGCAGTCCTCAAAAGAGCTCTCTCAGCCCCACCCACCTCACAGGGTGCCTGTTGTGGGAAGGGGAAGGGAAAGGAGATTGCAAGCCGCTCTGAGACCGCGAGGGAAGGGCGGGGTATAAATCCAATCTCATCTTCTTCTTCTCCGTGGTTGGGGCGGCAAGGGAAAGCAACGAGGAGTGGGGAGCGCCGCATCCTTCCAGTTCCTGGAAACCAGGAGGCCGGATTAGGATAAACCCATCTTCATTCGTTTGTGTTCCTCTTACCGATGCTTCTAAAGACTGCAGGGGTGGAGAGGACTTCGGTGTGTTTCTTTTCCCTTCTCCATACCCACTCAGTGCCTCTCACTGTCCAAGTCTCTTCCCCCTCCCCCACAAAAATTCTAATACCAAACAAGTGTTCAAATCAAGCAAGGCACAGCCCCGCCCCAAATGGAGAGTTTTGTTCCACAACTCATTCTTTGCAGCCGATTCTAGACAGATATCTTTTCTAGAAGAGGATGAACTAAAAATGATGGAAGGGTCGGGAAGCGCTTATTCATTAAGAAGAAGAAGAGGAGGAGGAGAAGGAGATTGGATTTATACCCCGCCCTTCACTGGGAGTCTTAGAGTGGCTTACAAACTCCTTTCCCTTCCCCTCCCCACAACAGACACCCTGTGGGGTAGGTGGGGCTGAGAGAGCTCTCTCGAGAACTGGCCTTGACAGAACAGCTCTGAGAGAACTTGTGACTGACCCAAGGTCACTCAGCTGGCTGCATGTGGAGGAGTGGGGAATCAGAAGAAGAGATTGGATTTATACCCCGCCCTTCATTCAGAGTGGCTTACAAACTCCTTTCCCTTCCCCTCCCCACAACAGACACCCTTTGAGGTAGGTGGTGCTGAGAGAGCTCTCTCGAGAACTGGCCTTGACAGAACAGCTCTGAGAGAACTTGTGACTGACCCAAGGTTACTCAGCTGGCTGCATGTGGAGGAGTGGGGAATCAGAAGAAGAGATTGGATTTATACCCCGCCCTTCATTCAGAGTGGCTTACAAACTCCTTTCTCTTCCCCTCCCCACAACAGACACCCTGTGAGGTCGGTGGTGCTGAGAGAGCTCTGAGAGAACTGTGACTGACCCAAGGTCACACCAGCAGCTGCATGTGGACGAGATTAGAGTCCCAGGTTAGAGTCCATGCTCCTAACCACTACCCCAAACTGGCGCTAAGTGCAGGAAGGGATCATGTGCAGGAGGAAAGAGCGAGGAAGAGGGGTCGGTGAAGGTTTTTGGAATCCCAGAAGTGTGTCATTTTCAAAGGAAAGGGAGGAGATTCTCCCATTTCTGTTGGGCCTCGCTGCTTGGGCTTGCCTTTCTTTGGGCTCTTGAGAGCGCCTCAAATGAACGTGAAGAGGATCCCAAAGGGAGTCGAGAGAGAGACGAACCTGAGCAGGAGGATGGGGTGCGCCACGGCCAGTTTCCGGCAGGCCATGTTGGCATCCCACAGGCGGCTCTCGCTGGCTTTCGAATCGGTGGAATCGGAGAGGAGGGCGATGAACCGGTGGATGAGGGCATCCAGCTGCGGGGAGAATTGCAACAAGGTAAGAGAAAAAGAAGAAGAAGAAGAAGAGATTGGATTTATACCCCGCCCTTCACTCGGAGTCTCAGAGCAGCTTACAAACTCCTTTCCCTTCCCCTCCCCACAACAGATACCCTGTGAGGTAGGTGGGGCTGAGAGAGCTCTTTTGAGAACTGCCCTTGAGAGAACAGCTCTGAGAGAACTACGGCTTGCCCGAGGTCATCCAGGAGCTGCAAGTGGAGGAGTGGGGAATCAAACCCGGTTCTCCCAGATTAGAGTCCGCACACTTAACCACGACACCATACTGGCAGTAGGGGATGGACCCTGCCTCGCTTAATAAACCTTCGCAGTCCTGGCCCTGATCTGGTGGAACTCCCTGCGGAACACCGTCAGGGTCCTGTGGGATTTAATGCAATTCCGCAGGGCCTGTAAGGCAGAGATGTTCCACCGGGATTTGGTTGAGGACGGGGATGGTGTGACCATCGCTGGCACCCTCCCTCCTTCTCCTTGCTTTCATCTGTTTTCCTCCTCCTGTCCTGCCCACAGAGCGGTGGCGCACTCCCGTATGGGAATAAGATTTATTAGAAGAAGAAGCAGAGAAGAGATTGGATTGGATTTATACCCTGCCGTTCACTACCCAAAGGAGTCTCAGAGCGGCTTACAAACTCCTTTCCCTTCCCCTCCCCACAACAGACACCCTGTGAGGTAGGCGGGGCTGGGAGAGCTCTGACAGAAACTGCTCTTTTTCAAGAATCAGACCTATGGCTTGCCCAAGGCCATCCAGCAGCTGAAAGTGGAGGAGTGGGGGAATCAAACCCGGTTCTCCCAGATTAGAGTCCGCGCACTTAACCACTACACAAAACTGGCTATTGTACTTTGGTCACACTATGTGAAGGCAAGCGTCACTGGAACAGTGGACAAGGTGGACCACTGTTAAAGTTGCTGACTCCATGCTGGGAAATTCCTGGAGATTTTGGAGTTGGGGGCAAGGGAAGGTGGGGCTTGGGGAATGGACTCAGCCAGGCATAATGCCGCAGAGTCCACCCTCCAAAGCAGCCATTTTCTCCAGGGGACCTGGTTTTGGTAGCCTGGAGATCAATTGTGATTGTGTGCGATCTCCAGGTGCCACCTGGAGGGTGGCAACCCTAGCCTCTGGTCTGACCCAACAGGCCTCTTCTGATGTTCTTATCCACAGCACTGCACAGAGAAGCAATGAGTGTGCTCGCTTCGGCAGCACATATACTAAAATTCCAGAAGCAATGAGCTTGTGAACTGGGAGTCGAGAAGGCGGTGGTGTACAGCCACAGAACGCCACGCCACCGACACTTGGGAGGACTGCCATTCTAAGCAGAATTACCCCCTTCCAAATCCACTTGAAACCAAGAGTTTCCAAAGGTGCAAGAACCTCTGCTTAAGACGGCACTGTGAGGCCGGTTGCATCTTGGGGAGCGGCCCCAGCTTGGTGGTAAGAATGTACTGGAGGTTCCCGGCGTCTGGACCCAGGACCTCTGATTATTTTACCATTTCAGCTTTGTGGACCAGTGCACCAAAAAGCACAGGAGATGGAAATCCTTTGCCCTGATACGGATGGCCCAGGCTAGCCAGATCTCACCAGATCTCAGGATCAGGAGAGAATAAATAGTTTTTCTACACCTTGTTTTTCTTTTCTGCTCCTTCGATGAGTGACCACCATCGAGGAAGTCCAAGGTTGCTACGCAGAGGCAGGCAATGGCCAACCCACCTGTGAACATCTCTTGCCCTGACCCGGATGGCCCAGGCTAGCCCGGATCTCGGAAACTAAGCAGGGTCAGCCCTGGTTAGTACTTGGATGGGAGACCACCAAGGAAGCCCAGGGTCGCTACGCAGAGGCAGGCGATGGCAAAACCACCTATGAACGTCTCTTGCATTGACCTGGACAGACCAGGGTACCCCGATCTCATCCGATCATGGAAGCTAAGCAGGGTCGGCCCTGGTCAGTCAGTACCGCCAAGGGAGCCCAGGGCTGCTACGCAGAGGCAGGCCATAGCAAGCCACCTCTGTCCATCTCTTTCCTTGAAAACCCTACAGGGTCAGGACTTGGATGGAGGACCACCAAGGAAGACTCTGCGGAGGCAGGCAATGGCAAGAAAGAGAGGAGATTGCATTTATACCCCGCCCTTCAGTTGGAGTCTCAAAGGGGCTTACAATCTCCTTTCCCTTCCCCTCCCCACAACAGACACCCTATGAGGTCGGTGGGGCGGAGAGAGCTCTGAGAGAACTTGTGACTGACCCAAGGTCACGCCAGCAGCTGCATGTGGAGGAGGAGTGGGGAATCGAACTCGGTTCTCCCAGATTACAGTCTGCACTCCTCAACCACTACACCTAACTGGCTCATCTCTGTCCGTCTCTTGATTTGACAACCCCACCGGGTCGCCACAACTTGCGACTTGACGGCACGCTTTCCACTGCCATTGATTCCTTGGTTGTTGGACGTCAGCAAGAGAAACAGCTCTGGGATTCTTAAGATTCGAGGTCCGTGAGCACACTGAACTAAAACCCAAAGGCTTCTGCAGTGCGGACGTGCAGCCCCGGACTCTAATGCCACTCCCCCCAAATCGGCCCCGAGCCTTACTTTGCAGGTGCTGCTATCGGTGGCCCCTTCGCTGGACAGCAGAGTCTCCGGCACGGGCACGAGGATCTCGGGCAATTGGAGGTAGATCTGAAGCAGAAGATCCTGGCAGTGTCTTCCCGTCGAGCTAAAACCCAAAAAGAGGACGGGATGTGAAACTGCCCAGCAGACACGTGTGTGTGTGTGGGGAGCCGGGTAGCAAGTCCGCCTCAACCCTGCTGATGAGACTGCTTTTGTTTCTCTTTATCTGAAAATCCAAGGTGCTAGTCCTCATTGGTACGAGGCACAAACAAGACAGCAGCATCAACCCACTGGGGAGGGAGATGTTAACTGGTGCCACACAGTGTTCCCTCTAAACTGAGTGAGTGTGAGCTAGCTCACAGCTTTTTAGCTTCTGGCTCACTCCTTTTTTGTCTTAGCTCAGGGAGAATGGCTCCAGAGCAAACTGATTTATGCAGTAGCCTAATTGCTGGGTCACAACTTTAATGCCAGCAGCTCACAAAGTAAAATCGTTGCTCACAGGAAGACACAAAGCTGCCCAATACTGAATCAGACCTTTTGGTCCGTGAAGTTCAGTATTGTCTACTCAGACTGGCAGTGGCTCTCTAGGGTCCATCCCATCAACTACTGCCTAGTCCTATTTAACTGCAGATGCTGGGGATTGAACCTGGGACCTTCTGCATGCCAAGGAGAGGCTCTTCCACTGAGCCACAGCCCCTCTTTACAGCTCTCCAGGGACTCAGGCGGAGGTCTTCCCCGTCACCTCCTGCCTGGTCCTTTTTAGCTGGAGATGCCGGGGATTGAACCGGGGACCTTCTGCATGCCAAGCAGAGGCTCTTCCACTGAGCCACGGCCCCTCTTGACAGCTCTCCAGGGTCTCAAGCGGAGGTCTTTCCCATCACCTCCTGCCTGGTCCTTTTAACTGGAGATGCCGGGGATTGAACCTGGGAAACTTCTTAATACAAAGCTCTTCAACTGAGCCAGAGCCCCTCCGCATAAAATTCAACCATTGTGTTTGAAGCCTATCAATGGTACTAAAAATTAATTTTTAAAACATTGTTTAATATGACATAAGCAATCATACACAGATGGAGTAATTTATCTGCTTGTTACCAGAAATAATATCTCCTTTCTATATTATAACGTTCAGTATAGACAGCCAAGGGACAGAACTCAGAGCCTCGAATTTCATGATGTACGTAGGATGTATCCAAAATCAGAGAAAAGCATTTCTTAACTCAACTAAATATGGTTTCAATAAATACACAGGTTGGATCAAAATCACAGAAGAAGAGGAGGAGGAGGAGGAGGAGGAGGAGGAGATGATTGGATTTATACCCCGCCCTTCACTCGGAGTCTCAGAGTGGCTTGCAAACTCCTTTCCCTTCCCCTCCCCACAACAGATGGTGGGGCTGAGAGGGCTCTGAGAGAAACTGCTCTTTTTTAAGAACAGCTCTGACAGAACTATGGCTTGCCCAAGGTCATCCAGCAGCTGCAGGTGGAGGAGTGGGGAATCAAACCCGGTTCTCCCAGATTAGAGTCCGCGCACTCAACCACTACATCAAACTGGCTCTACAGGTAGAACGAGGATTAGCAAGTGGGGCATCTTCTCACTTCTCTCCAGTTGATACCCCCAAGTCCTCCCAAATTCTATCACTGGGTCCTCAGGGACAGGGTGGGGGGCAAAGTTGGGGGTCAAAAGCGGGGAGAGGAATCAGCAAAAACCGGCTTTCCCTCCATCCTGCCGCTAGAAGGGCTATCCTCACAGGGAAACAGCATCTTTGGATTCGGACCAATATTATTTATTAGATCAAAGATATATGATTATTAACAAAAGTTGTTTCTCGAAAGAGAGAGGATTTAAATTTTTCTTTTTAAGCAGGCTACATCCTCACAGAAAGTGCCAGTTCGAGATTACAACTAAACATCAAGAGGCCAAGAGAAATGACTACTGGAGAATCACACAGCTTTAAGGCTGACAGTGAAGAAACTGTTCAAGGTGTTCTGCTCCTTGACTCCGCCATCAACCGAGAGGGAGACGGCAACCAAGAAGTCAGAAGGCGACTGAGACTGGGAAGAGCAGCTACGATGGAGCCAGAAGAGATTCTTAAGGGTCAGGAAGTCAATGCTCCCTCTAAGATGTGGAGTCTTGTGAACAAAAATTCTACTTTGTGAGCTACGGGCATTCAAGTTGTGAGCGAGTGATTTGGCTACTGCATAAAGTAGTTTGCTCCGGAGCCATCCTCCCCGAGCTGAGACAAAAATGGGTGAGCCGGAGGCTAAAAAACTGTGAGCTAGCTCATAGTAACTCAATTCTACTGCTTCAGGCCAACACAATTGACCATCTGGATCCATCCGCTTAGAGGGAACACTGGTAAGGTTGTGTCTCTGGTGACCAAGATCAACATAATTCATGCCACGGTATTCCCTGTTACTATCTATGGGTGTGGAAGTTGGACAAAAAAAGACGGCTGATGGGAAGAAGGTTGATTAATTTGAAATGTGGTGTTGAAGGAGAGTTTCACGGATGCCCTGGACTGCCAAAAAGACAGATCAGTGGGTTCTAGACTTCCTCTAAGCTGTGGAGTCTTGTGAACAAAAATTCTACACTGCGAGCGACTAGCATTAAAGTTGTGAGCGAGCGATTTGGCTGCTGCATAAATTGGTTTGCTCTGGAGCCATCCTTCCTGAGCGGAGACAAAAATGTGTGAGCCGAAGGCTAAAAAACTGTGAGCTGACTCACACTCACTCAGCGGGAATACTGGTTCTAGATCAAATCCAGCCCAAACTCTCCCTAGAAGCTAAAAGGACTCAACTGAAGAAGAGGAGATTGGATTTATACCCCGCCCTTCACTCGGAGTCTCAGAGCGGCTTACAAACTCCTTTCCCTTCCCCTCCCCACACCCTGTGAGGTAGGTGGGGCTGAGAGAGCTCTGACAGAAACTGCTCTTTTTCAAGGACAGCTCTTGTCAGAACTATGGCTTGCCCAAGGTCATCCAGCGGCTGCGAGTGGAGGAGTGGGGGAATCAAACCCGGTTCTCCCAGATTAGAGTCCGTGCACTTAACCACTACACCAAACTGGCTATCGTACTTTGGTCACACTATGTGAAGGCAAGCGTCATCGGAAAAGACAATAATGCTAGGAAAAGTGGAAGGCGGCAGGAACAGAGGAAGACCCAAGAGGAGGTTGGGCTGACTTGATCAAGGAAGCCACAAGGGCCCTCTGTTCGCAAGACAGAGGCTGTGAATGGCGGGGCGTTTTGGAAGTCATGAATTCATAGGGGTGCCACAACTCAGAAGCGACTCGACACGACTCGACAGCTCTCAACAGACCCCTACACATCCTCACCTGCTCCCCCACTGCTGGGTGCAGCCCGTCAAGTACTCCACGACTTTCTTGATGCTGTCGACGTCTCCGTGGCAGCAGCTCAGCAATAGCGGCAGCCGGGACTGGGTCACCGAGCAGGCCGCCTCCTCGGGCGTCGTCAGGCTCCTGGTCTCCGACTCCGCCAGGATCAGCTCCACCAGGCTGATCAGCTCGGGCGCCTTCAGACGGAGCACGAACTCCTCCCGCCGTTTCTGGAAGGAACGTTCCGGAGACGGTTGGAAAGGGATAACAAAATTGAGGGATGCAAGACGAGAGAGAATGGGGTTTATCGGAGGGTCTTCTCATACTGGGCCGTTAATGTGAGGAGGAGGAGGAAGAGGAGGAGGAGGAGATTGGATTTATACCCCGCCCTTCACTCTGAGTTTCAGAGCGGCTTGCAATCTCCTTTCCCTTCCCCTCCCCACAACAGACACCCTGTGAGGTAGGTAGGGCTGAGAGAGCTCTTTCAAGGACTGCTCTTTTGAGGACGGCTCTGAAAGAGCTTGTAACTGACCCAAGGTTACACCAGCTGCCACACATGAAGGAATGGGGAATCGACCCCGGTTCTCCCAGATCAGAGTCCGTGCTCCTAACCACTACAAAAAACTGGTGTTGTGGGGTATAAAGGTAAAATAAATGAATAAAGCTAACTGTGAGATCTCCTCCACACCAGACCTAGCTACCATATTGCTCAGAATATAACTCTTGGAAACATTTTAGTGGGCTTCCAGCTCTTAATCTTTTATACACCGTGACTGGGCTCCCAGAATCTTCTTCTTTTTCTTTTTTTTTTAACCCCCGAAGGGATATTTTTTATTGCATTTTCTAAAAACTACAAAGAAACAAGGGGGGGGGGTGTCCTTACAAACTATGGGAGAAAGGAAAGAAAACATGCGGATAAACAAATGAGGAACCCCTTCTTGAAGGATTTGGGCCTGTCCACTGACGGAAGCGGGATACTAGGCTTGATGGTGTGGTCCAGCTGGGCTCTTCTTACGCTCTAGCCCAGAGGTGTCGAACTCAGTTGTTACGAGGGCCGGATGTGACACAAAGTGCCACTTTGTCGGGCCAGGCCATGCGTGCCATAAAACGTTATGCCAGGTACCGGAGATAGAAACTGTACAAAGGACGGCAGCTGGTAAGCTCCGGGTTGGTGTGTCCTCGTTGCAAGGCCTCACGGGCTGGGAGGGGGGTGCAAAGGACTGGGCGGACTGGAAAGGCAGCGGTGCAGCACTGGGCAGACGCTCCCACGCTGCTTGACTGCTGCAGACGAGGTTGTTCCGCCGTGCTGAAGCCACAATCGGGGTGGCTTCGCCCACTCCCCCCGAGCGGTCTCCTATTCCTTCCCTTGCACTAGTTGTTCGCGGGCCATATAAGAGCCCTGGACGGGCTGCTTCCGGCCCCCGGGCCTTAGGTTTGACACCCCTGCTCTGCCCCTTCAAATGGGTGACATAACAAATGCTGCCCCCTCCCTCCCAAGCCGCGTGGCGGAGGTCAAGCCCATTACCTGGGGTACCCGCTGGTCTCTGCCTTGCCAAATCCGAGGGATATGAATACAGGCCCACAGAAAATCGAGGGATGCCGCTGGGTCAAACCTGGCAGGAGATTACAGAAATTGGTTTGTGGGTGTATGTGTGTGTGGAAAGCCTAAATTAGTTAGAAGGTCGAATCCCCTCAAACTGCAGACGCCCCTCCCCAGAGGCCTCATCTGCAACTTGTCACCCAATCTTTCCATTTTATCTGGCAAAAATCAGTGTCGCCAAATTCCTCTTCCTGACAACCAACACCTACTGCAGATAATTCCTTTTTCTGGAATACATAATTAGTGAGGCTACAAAGGAGAGAAGGAGGGCTTGGCGGGGGGGATAAACACTACCAAAGTGCGTTTCCTGATGCCTGCCTGCCAGCCCACACATTTCCTGACGCCTGTCTGACGGTCCATGCATTTCCTGATGCCTGCCTGCCGGTCTGTGTGCGCAAACACTCCTCGGCCTGCCCAAACACGTGCCTGGGCTTTAAATACCAGAACCAGGAGCGTCCTTTCAACCTTTAAGCCATTTGTAGCTCTGCTGGCAACAAAAAGGTTAAGAATGGAGATCTGAAAGAGACCGACTGTCGTGGGCCAGCCTGACCAGTATGGCTGAAGACTCTTCAGGAGTGGAGGAGCCACATGCAGCCAGCTCTGAACCACCTAAAATTAGTGAATTAGAGATCCAGGAGCCTCAAGATTCATTTGCCGGCAGCTGACCCTGACCCACCCAGGCACAGCTCTGAAGAAGCCATCCAAGCACAGCTGCAGGCTCCCCAGCTCCCTGTTAATTGAACACTGAAGGGAAAAGCTCCGGTAAGACTTAAGGACATGCAGACGGAGTGCTCGCCTCTTGGCTGTTTATTGATAGCAGTTCTGAGAAAGCGCAGGAGCACGTCCAAGCAGATGGCTGCAAATCAGGCTTGTTAAGGAATGCCCATATAAATCAGACCTGGAGAACGGCAGATGGTGGAAGCAACATGTCACAACCCTGTGAACTTCGTGACTACAGCTGCAGACTCTGCCCGCCTCCTGCAACCTTCGGACTGACCCTCAACTTTGCGTTTTGGACCTGCTTGGCCCTTGCTGATCAACGACCTCAGGCTGCCTTGACTCTGCTTTCCTGAACAACACACGGACTCCGACTGCCGCTAAACCGGTATCTGATCTCTGGACTGGACTCTTGACCATGATCTAGCTTGGTGGCCTCGCTCTGCGGCCTAGTTCTGTTGCCTTGCTCTGCCTGTATTCCAGGACACCAACGTTCGATACCCCAAACTTCCAAGTCTGTGATGGCTTTGCGAGAGCTGTGCGGCTCTTGGCAGTGAAACGCCCAATTCTCTGCTTTTGTTTTTTAAAGCACTTCAGGTTTAGTCCCAAAGTAGCACTTGCAAGGCCACGGATTCCCCTCCCCTTGCTCTCTGCCAGAAAGCTTTTCCAAGGTCCTTCCGCTGGCAGTAACTGCCCGTACACGCAAGCGGATTTTTCGCTCGCGCATCAGAGAGTCTTTGTGAACCCTTGCAACTGGCTCGGAGAAGGCGTACCTTTGCTCTCGGTGTTTGCACAGGAGGATCTGGATGCAACGGTGGAGGGTGGTCCAGCTGGACTGGTGCGTCAGGAGCGCCAGAAGGTACGGGCGGAAAGAGGGCAGCTCCGATTCCAATGAACTTTTATCCTGGCAAGGGTGTGGGGGGAAGAAAGGCATGGATTATTATGGAGAATTGGCAGTGGGGACAGGAATGTCTCATCACGAGACGCCAACCAGGGGAAAGGCAGGGAAGGCGAGGATTCTAGGATTTCCCCGGAGGGATCGTGCCGCCCGCCAACTGATGGAGCCAAAGTATCCCCTTGGAAGGGTGAAACGAGGGAGGAAGCTTGAGCCCCCCACAGCTCCACATCCTAGGCTAACGGGGGAGACTGTATACCTGGAAGCCACAGCGCCCTACAGCAGTCAAAAGACACAAGTCAGAAAATGTAGATGCTTTTGCTTCTAATGTTGGAGTGAGCGACGCAGCATGCCTGGACACTGGGGGGCGCTACATCACTCTTAAGTGTGTATAGGTCTTAGCTCCTTGAATGGGATAACTCTCTTTGTCAGCTTGGTGTAGTGGTTAGGAGCGCAGAATCTAATCTGGGAGAACCGGGCTTGATTCCCCACTTCTCCACATGCAGCTGCTGGGTGACCTTGGACAAGCCACGGTTCTTTCAGAGCTGTTCTCTCAAGAGCAGTTCTCTCAGAGCTCTCTCGGCCCCACCTACCTCGCAGGGTGTCTGTTGTGGGGAGGGGAAGGGAAAGGGAAAGGAGACTCTGAGTGAAGGGCGGGGTATAAATTCAATCTCTTATTCTTCTTCTTAACCTGGGAGCTGCCTTCCGACCCCTCCTCTCTCTGTGCGTACTTTGTTCTTTCCCATCATCCACATGGCTTTTCAGGGAGTCACACATCTCTACAGTTTCTCCTGTAGAAACAATGCCCTCCTACTTCCACACACATGATGCTGGATTTAGGTGACCACTTGTGATAGGGAAAGTACTCTTTAGATAAAGCTTCTTTTGACTGCAACCTGAACTGGATCTACTTGAATAAATATAAGTTATTACTTTTTGGGAAATTTCTTCTTGGGAACTTCTTGGGAAATTTATTTACTGTGCTCAGTATCAGGCTTCTACGACTGGGCAAACACTGCTATATTAACCAAATGTCCCAATATCCTCAACCAAAAGTTACCATTTCAGCTTTGCCTGGGTGCTCGCCACCAGTGTTCCCTCTAAGCTGAGTTAGTGTGAGCCAGTTCACAGCTTTTTAGCCTCCGGCTCACACGTTTTTGTTTTCGCTCAGGAAGGAGGGCTCCACAGCAAACTTATTTATGCCGCAGCCAAATCGCTCGCTCACAACTTTAATGCCAGTAAGCTCACAAAGCAGAATTCTTGCTCACAAGACTCCACAGCTTAGAGGGAGCATTGCTCTCCACACCGCCTTCTGGAGCCAGGTAGCTTCATGTGAAGCTTCCGCTTGCTAGTTTCAGCACCGGAGCGAAGGACACCACCCGATTTCCAGCTCCTGTCGTTGTCCCATTTCACGAACCGCCCCCCCTCACCTTGTTCCACGAGAAGAGCAGCCGTTGTTGGAGATCCGGGCAACTGCTTATCACCTCAGGATCCAGCATCTCCAGCCAGTCAATGAAAAGGCCGAAGGAGGGGCCCAGCCGGGCCATTTCGGCGCTGCAGGGATGAAATCAGTCATGTGGGGGTAAACCAAAGTGTTATACAAATAAATTCCCAATCAAGGAGGAGGAAGGTCTTAGTGTTTAATGGCAATCAATCACTAGGAAACAGTTAGGCCAAACCAGCCTATCAAAAATTGACTGCTTTCTGAGCACAATCAGGAAATACATGAAGTTTTATACTTTAAATGACATCATCATGAAAATAACATCCAAAAAGCATAATTGGTTACAAAGAGTTATACATCATTTGAATAAAAAAATCCCTTATTGGTCAAATGTAATGAAAGATGGGGTTACATAACATCTAAATGTTTACTTAAACTAACCTGAATAATATTTGCCGAGGATTCTCTATACCCCAAACAAAGGTGTTTCCCCCCCCCCCCCCCCGATACAAAGCTAAAGTTCTTCTTGACCCAGACACGGCAAAGTTTCCCCCTAAACAATTGAAAACCATGAACTTTATACCAAAAGAATTGTTATCGTCTTGTCTGCGAACATTAGCTAGAAAATTAATCTAACCTACAAAAGGAAGGTCTGAAATTTAATAGGCCTTCATTACATCCTTAGAAAAATCTTACTGAGGAGAAAAATCTATAAAACCAGGAAAATATGAATAATCAGAAGAGAGAAAAACCACCCCCTCCCGGCCCACCTGCATGCCTCTGCTTCTTTCTTCATGGCGGTCTCATTTTGGTCTTGGAGCAGCAGTGAGCTCACCACAGCGATGGGGCCCGTGGCAGGAAAGCGGGACGAGGTCTCGTTAGTGACCGAGAAGAGGGCGGCCAGGAGCTCCTCCAGGTAGGGTGAACGTGTTTCCGTCAGGCCCTGAAGGACTAGGGGGAAGAGAGACGGGGGGGCAGGGGAGAAAAGAAAGGATCCTGAGGCACTTCACGAGAACGCAAAATTCACCGTAGCTCTTGCCGAAAGTGCCAAAATTAACCATGACGCAAAGGAAACCGCAGAGCGGGATACCTGAAGGTTGTGGTCAAGTGACTATTGCGAAACAGTAGGCTTACTGGACAAATTTATCTATTTGTTGTCGAAGGCCTTCATGGCCGGAGTTCATTAGTTGTTGTAGATTTTCCAGGCTGTATGGCTGTGGTCTTGGCATTGTAGGACCTGACGTCCTACAATGGTCTACATCTTACAACAGCACTACAGATAAGATTAGAATTTCAACAGCCAATCCATATGCAAAAGAACCTCCTCAGGAAAGCTCCTCCATTAGCATGTTCACAGCCTGGGGAACTCCTATAAGATAATGACTCAGCCCTACCCCACCTTCCTGGGCAGATATCAATTACCTCTACAATGCCAAGACCACAGCCATACAGCCCGGAAAATCTACAACTAAATTTATCTATTTGTTTTTATTTACAGAATTTACGTCCCACCTTTCTGCTCTCACGAGGCCGCCCAGGACGCTAATGATTTAAAACATACATGAATAAAATTTCACTGTGAGTTCTTCAAGGCTCTACGCAGAGTGATTCCTTTTTCACATATCGAGAGAGTCATCGTAATTACTCCGGGTAACAGAGGGTAAGAAACGAGAGAGCCCAAAGCCTGCACCTTGCGCTAGAGGGACCGATAAAAATGACTCGGGTATATCACAATGCAGCTTAAACTCGCTAGTTTCACCAGGCCAAACTTGCTCTTGTTCAGAAAAAGGCTACTCCCGGCAAGGGGGCTCGTACTCCCTGAGCAGTCAGCCCATCACAGGGAACGAACTTATCCTGCTTCCCCCCCCGATACTGATACCTTAGCAGGCCCCCACCTTTGCTGACGAGCTCAGGTTCCACGTTGTATTTTTCACTAGACTTCAGGGTAGCTACGATGGCCTGCACGGTGGAGCCGATCATGTCAGTGTCGCGGCGGAAAGCCAGCGCGTCCGCCAGGTGGAGGAACCCCCCTCGAACTGTGGGGGAAAAACGGGAGGGAAGGAATGAAGTGTGACTCACAAACTCACACTTGGTTTTGCCAGCCTTGGTCCTTCTTGTTTGATTCAAGGCCTGGAACTCCCAGCAAGGACGCAAAACAGGCCACACAGAAAGGTTTTGTGGTTATGGGGGGGGGGGGGGTGTCTTCAAGAGAGGACATTCAATATATGTGGGTAAAAAGGTTTTTGACAGAGACGGGAGGAAGGGGTTTGGGAGCCTGGTGTGAAAATGGGATTTTGGGACTGCTTGACGGTATGCTCACAACCCCAATTAAAAAAATACAATCAGCCAAAACACCTTTAAGCAAAAGTTTGACTGTTCAATGACATTCCCCACATGGGACAGCGCCCGCTTTACCATCGTTGATCCTGTGCTTGGATGAATACTGGACGGCGAAGGACTTGAGCTGCGTCCGGAGAGGTCCTTCTTCCACAGCTGGATTCTCCAGCCACTTCAACATCTGCATGAGGACTTTGAAGAACAGTGAGGAGAAGGTCGTGTCCTGGGGGACGAGGCGCTGAAAAGAGGGGGGGTGGTTTAACAAAGAGAAAAGTTACCTATGCGGTTTCCTCCAAAGGCTGGATAACAACAGCATCGCAGTACGGCCCCAAAGCCCACGGAACCGAAAGAGTGAGTGAAATTCTGGATACCAGAGCAGACTTTAATTTTGCACCCCCTGGTATGAGCAGAGATGGGAAGCCACTGAATAACATATTTGCCAAGGTAGATCCAGGTGGGTTGCTGTGTTGTTTTGAAGCAGTAGAACAAAGTTCGAGTCCAGCGGCACCTTTAAGACCAGCAAAGTTTTATTCGAGGTACAAGCTTTCATGTTCAGGCACACTTCTCTCCAGCGTGATAGCAGGGTCTCGGTTGATTGCTCTTAGCACTCCACAACGACGAAGGTTACATTTACACATCTATCTCCAATTGTGGCATATTTATTTGCCTCACTGTTTTTCCTCGGAATTCAATCCAAACAGTGATGACCTGACAAACTTAGCTTGTTATTCCTGTTTCCCTCTGTTAAAACATTTCATTATATAGTTATAAGCTCCTCTATTAGCATGTTTCACAGCCTGGGGAACTCCTACAAGATAATGACTCAGCCCTGCCCCACCTTCCTGAGTAGATATAAATTACCTGCCTACCCTTTTTCTTCTCACCTTGACACAGAGAGTACTCCATCTTTCTGTGTTATACCTCTGAGGATTCCAGTCGCAGCTCCTGGCGAAACGTCAGGTTCTACAATGCCAAGACCATGGCCACACAACCCGGAAAATCTACAGCAACTAACTTATGATGACTCCAACAAGAGGCTCTCAAGGCAAGTGAGAAGCAGAGGTGGTTGGCCATGACCTTCCTCTGCAGAGTCTTCCTTGGTGGTCTCCCTTCCAAGTACCGACCCCACTTAGCTTCCAAGATCTGATCAGAGGTCTATAGCAAACCCAGCAACGGGTCATTTTATTCTCAGTCCCTTTCGTAAGAATCCCTAACATAGGAAAGAAGAAAGTTTAAAAATAAATAGGGCATGGTTTCCTGTCCTGAAAAACACAAAATGTTCTACATCTTACAACAGCACTACAGATAAGATTAGAATTTCAACAGCCAATCCACATACAAAAGAACCTCCTCAGGAAAGCTCCTCCATTAGCGTGTTTCACAGCCTAGGGAACTCCTGCAAGATAATGACTCAGCCTTACCCCAACTTCCTGAGTAGATATAAATTACCTGTCTACCATTTTTCTTCTCACCTTGACACAAGAGAACACTCCATCTTTCTGTGTTATACCTCTGAGGATGCCAGTCACAGCTGCTGGCGAAATGTCAGGTCCTACAACGCCAAGACCACGGCCATACAGCCCGGAAAATCTAAAACAGCTAATTTCATTATATTGTGTACTAATTGTTCACGGGATGGGCGGGATATAAATGCGAAAAACAAACAAATAAATAAATAAGTTGCTGTTCAACCTCTGCCTTATATGTACGGACTGGTAAGTTCCATTTCACTGTGTCTGATAAAGTGTGCCTTGCACACGAAAGCTCCTACCTTGAATAAAACTTTGTGGGTCTTAAAGGCGCCCCCACTGGACTCGACATTTGCCGAGACGGAAACCTCCTCACCTGGTACTGGTAGAGCAAGCGCATCAGTGGGCAGGACACGGCGTGGTTTCTATGCATCATCACCACCAGCGCCCGGCCGTGGGGGGAGTTCAACAGTGCTCCCAACGCCTGGAGGAGACGCGCCGCTGTTCCCGGGGCCGGGGGGCTCCCCTGGCGAAGCTGAGCCAGCTCTTGGCCCAGGGCTTGCTGCAGAGCCAGGGAAAGGGGACGGGGGTTCAAGTTCTGCCAGCGGGGATCTGGGTTCAGTGGAAACAGCTGGGAAAGATGGAAAAGATGTACTGTTAGTAACTCTGTGTTAAAATTTAAAAAACAACAACAACCCAATTAAGAACACCAGAAGAGCCCTGCTGGACCAGAGCAGTGGTCCATCTAGTCCAGCATCCTGTCTCACGCAGTGGCCAACCAGTTCCTCTGGAGGTCCAACAAGAGGGCATAGAGGCCGAGGCCTTCCCTTGAAAAGAACACCAGAAGAGCCCTGCTGGACTAGAGCAGTGGTCCATCTAGTCCAGCATCCTGTCTCACGCAGTGGCCAACCAGTTCCTCTGGAGGTCCAACAAATAGGACATGGAGGTCTTGTCATGAGGCTGCCTCCTGGCACTGGGATTCAGCGGCCAACTGCCTCTGAACACAGAGGTCCCCTTTTTCACTACAGTTAGTAGCCCCTGATAGATCTACCTTCACAAGTCTGCCTAATCTCTTTTTAAAACCGCCTATGCCTGTGGTCATCACCACGTCCTCTGGCAGCAAACTGAATGTTGTAATCATTTGGTGCGAAAAGAGTTATTTCCTTTCGTCCGTCCCAAATCTACTGCCCATCGTCTTTGTTGGATGTACTCAAGGTCTAGGACTTTGGGATGGGGCGAAACAGTTGTCTCTATCCACTCTTTCTACCCTGCGCATAATTTATAAACATCTATCGCAGGGGTGTCAAACTCATTAGAGAGCCAGTTTGGTGTAGGGGTTAAGTGCGCAGACTCTAATCTGGGAGAACCGGGTTTGATTCCCCACTCCTCCACTTGCATCTGCCTGGATGACCTTGGGCAAGCCACAGTTCTGGCACAGCTGTCCTTAAAAAAGAGCAGTTTCTGTCAAGAGCTCTCTCAGCCCCACTGACCTCACAGGGTGTCTGTTGTGGGCAGGGGAAGGGAAAGGATTTTGTAAGGTGCTTTGAGACACCTTTGTGTAGTGAAGGGCGGGGTATCAATCCAATCTCTTCTTCTTCTTCATTTATTATGAGGGCTGGATCTGACATAAATGACACCTTGTTGGGCCGGGCCATGTGTGTCCTAAAAGTGTAATGCCAGGTAGTGGAGATATAAACTTTATAAAGAACACAAGCACAAGGTTTATTTTACTTAAAATAAAAACATGCTTAAAACATCAGCACTCTTGCAATATTTTGTTTATTTAACAGAGTCTGATAACGGACACCTCTTGCTCTGAATTACTGCATCAAAATGTCTGTGCTGTTGCAATCCTGAGTATGCTGTTCAGGTGTGTATCTGCAAGCTGCAAACCTACGATGACGCAGCAGCAGCAGAACTGGAAGAAGAAGCAGAAGACAGCCAGTTCCACTGTGGGCCTGATAGAAGTCCTCCGGGGGCCTTATCCAGCCCCCGGGACGCATCTTTGACACCCCTGTTCTATCATGTTCCCCTGCCCTCGGACCTCAGTTGTCTCTTTTCTAAAATGAAAGCCCCAGACTCAAAATAACAACACAAAGCATTGAGGAATTTTCCTACAGGGACAATGGGATCCAGGTGTTTGTGAATACGATGAGAGACGGCAAAGGGGGGAGGGGCTACACCCTCTCCATACAACCCTCTGCCACAAGATGTACCAACCGTCACTAGCTCAGATAGCTTTAAAAATTTAGACGGCAGACGGAATCTGTGGCCTATCAAGCTATGACTGATAATGGCTGAATTGAACCTCCATGTTCAGAGACAGTCTATACTCGAACCACTCAGTTGGCTGGAGAGCAGACCATACCCGACTTCTTTGCAGCCCAAAGCCAGCTGGCCACACCTCGCTGGAAATGGGACGTCGGGCCGGATGAGCCGACCCAGCAGGGCTTTTCTGAGGTCCGGCTCGCAAGGGAAGCTCAGCACGGGGCCACTTCCCCACTCGGTCGGTGGGGGGTTACCTGAAGGATAATGGTTGCCAGGTCATCTTCGGGACCCAGGACTCGGATCTGGGCCAGAGCTCGGATTCTTCCCTGCCCTTGTGGAGCCTCGAGATTAATTTTTGGCCGGGAAGCTTCATCACTGTCTGCGGAGAGATTACAACCGAGTATTAAGAATCTCATGGTTAAAAAGCCAAGGAGACACACGCCTGAACACAGGAAGCTGCCTACTGAATCAGACCCTTGGCCCATTGAGGTCAGTCTTGTCTGCTCAGACCAGCAGCGGCTCTTTGGTCTCTCAGGCAGAGGGTCTTTCACATCACCTCCTGCCTGGTCCTTTTAACTGGAGATGCCAGGGATTGAACCTGGGACCTTCTGCATGCCAAGCAGATGCTCTTCCACTGAGCCACGGCCCCTCTTTACAGCTCTCCGGGGTCTCAGGCAGAGGTCTTTCCCATCACCTCCTGCCTGGTCCTTTTTAACTGGAGAGGCCAGGGATTGAACCTGGGACCTTCTGCATGCCAAGCAGATGCTCTTCCACTGAGCCACGGCCCTCTTTACAGCTCTCCGGGGTCTCAGGCGGAGGTCTTTCCCATCACCTCCTGCATGGTCCTTTTTAACTGGAGATGCCAGGGATTGAACCTGGGACCTTCTGCACGCCAAGCAGAGGCTCTGCCACTGAGCCACGGCCCTCTTTACAGCTCTCCGGGGTCTCAGGCGGAGGTCTTTCCCATCACCTCCTGCCTGGTCCTTTTTAACTGGAGATGCCAGGGATTGAACCTGGGACCTTCTGCACGCCAAGCAGAGGCTCTGCCACTGAGCCACGGCCCCTCTTTACAGCTCTCCAGGGTCTCAGGCGGAGGTCTTTCTCATCACCTCCTGCCCGGTCCCTTTAACCGAAGATGCCAGGGATTGACCCTGGGACCTTCTTCAAACGAAACAGATTCTCTTCCACGGAGCCATGCCCCCCCTCGATACAGATGAGAGATTACATATTTAAATGTTCCTCACTGCACATAACCCCCCCCCCCAACATCCTTTTCCTGCGAAACACCAGCAAGTCATGAAAAAAGCTCATAGCCCGAGCTTCTCCCCTGGCACACTCGCTTTCTATGCACAGAGAAGTCTGAGTCGGTGGCGCCAAGACTGGAAAGCCACCAAGGAGGAAGGCCCAGCCCAATCTATTTCCAGGGCGAGAAGCAAAGGACCCGATTACCGTACCTCGGCGTGGGGGCAAGGAGGTGGTGAGAAGCGAGTGGAAGGTCTGTCCCCCCGTCGCTCCCCTCTCATGCTGGACCTCGACGAGGTGAGCCATGTAGTCTGAAAGAGAACAATCGGGTCAGCACCAGTGTTCCCTCTAAGCTGAGCTAGTGCGAGCCAGCTCACCGTTTTTTTAGCCTCCGGCTCACACATTTTTGTCTCAGCTCGGGGCAGACGGCTCCGGAGCGAGCTAATTCATGCAGCAGCCGAATCGCTCGCTCACCACTTTAATGCCAGGAGCTCACAGAGTAGAGGTTTTCTCATGAGACTCCACAGCTTGGAGGGAGCACATCGGACGCTCTCTTCTGTCTCCTAGCAGCTCAGCTGAGCTGCGCTCAAAACCACCCTGCTCTAGAAGTCCGGCCGTTGGCTGTTGACCTACACTGGGAACTCCAGCCTCAGGATTCTCTTTCTCTATTGTTTGTAGCCTGTCCTCACTCAAGGCGGATTACACAGGGCAAGTCCCATGCAACCAACGTGCCCCAGGGATAAGAACCCCTTCCCGTGCAGTGTCCCCGCATCTAGACCCCTGGCTGGTGAAAAGCCGGGAGAATGGAGAATTCTGCTTTCTCCTCTCCTTTTAAAGTGTTCGCCAGACAGTGGCTATGGAAAATTCTCGGACTCTGCAGGACTCCGATCGTGGCCGGAGCTAGTGACCGCCTGTGGGAGGAGGCTGAAGGGGGGCAATCAGTCCAAACTAGGCCCATTATGCTTGCTTTATTATTATTTATTTCATTTATAACCTCACTTTTCTCCCCAATGAACCAATGAAGCTGCCTTCATGGACCCCTGGTCCATCAAGGTCAGTATTGTCCACGCAGACTGGCAGCCCAGCTCCCCAAGGGTCTTGGGAGGAGGTCTTTCCCATCACCTCCTGCCTGGTCCATTTAAACTGGAGATGCTGGGGATGGAACCTGGGACCTTCTGCATGCCAAGCAGATGCTCTTCCACTGAGCCACAGCCCCTCTTGACAGCTCTCCAGGGTCTCAGGCAGAGGGTCTTTCACATCACCTCCTGCCTGCTCCTTTTAAACTGGAGGTGCCAGAGACTGAACCTGGGACCTTATACATGCCAAGCTGGATGCAAATTGCTTTCTGTCCCCATGGTTCAGTGGCAGAGCTTTGGGGACAGAAAGTGATCTTCATCCTTTTCTTCTCCTCCATCTATTTGCAGAACAAGGCTGCCTATCTGTGGACAGAAATCACTGTCGAAATTGAAACATATAGAATCCTGCTCTTTGATTTGGAAAGATTGCAGTTCATGGCCGGGCCAGGATGGAAGGCACCAAACGCAAGAACAGGCCTAGCTAAAAAAAACCCAGAGCTATATTCAAGTCCACTAGCACCGTCGAGACCAAATAGAATTCGGGGATACAAGCTTTCAAGAGTCAGAGCCCCCTTCGGTCTTCTTCAACGAGAGCCGTAATGAGAGGGATTTGTACAATCCATCGGAAAAATTGTCACTTTTTTTTTGAGAGAAAAGACCTCTTGATATAAAGTTAAAAAGCAGTTAACATTCTTTTCATAGTCAAAGATTGGCACTTAGTCAGCTCAGTCCTTTTCTTTGAATTGCCTCCCGATACAAAATATCTATGTAATTAGCACTACTCAACTAAATACTATAAGGGCACATTAAAATGTATTATTGAACTGTTTTTTAAAAAGAATGCTTTTCTTAATGTAGCTCACCAAGTTGACAATGTTTGTATTACTCTGTTAAACATTTGACAATTTTAATAAAAATAATTAAAAAAATTTCTGAAAGTTTTATACCCTGAAAATCCTGCTGGTCTCTAAGGCGGCAGTGAATTCGAATCCCGCTGTTTCACTGTAGACCAACATGGCTACCCCCAAGACACAAAAATGTAGAGTCGGGGGGGGGGGGGGGGCGAAAGTAGCATCCAGATAGTCCAAAGGTATGTATCGAAGCTGGGAATTCCGCAACACGTGGAAATTATTTGCATGTTGCTTTGACATTTATTCCACAAAATTTGTTGCGTCTGTGGTTTCATAAAGTGACCTCTCTTTTGCTGTTCCCAGGGAAGGCCTCCCCCCCCCACCCCCCGCAGCCCAGTTCCCGGAAAACCAACCCTCCCCACTATCCGAACAACCACGAGGGCTAGGAACTTGGGGGAGTTCTTGCGAATAAAAAGGCTGCAATTTTCGGGAAGCCGAAACGCCGCCCCACGAACGAACATCCTGCTCTTTTCAACGGAGCTCCCGCGGAAACCACAACAGATGCAGAGCCCCGATGCCCCCGTGCTGCCGACTCAACACAAGGCGGATTTTGCAGAGACACTGGGAAGGGCTGGGTTTCAGAGCACGCCCCCCCCCAATAAAAAACGGCAAACGCCTCCCTTACTCTTGTCCATGATGTTCTGCTCCAGGGTCTGAGGATCGTGGGAGACGGCCTGATCCAGGTACTGCAGGAGTTTACTCATGCTGGAGACGGGGATGCCGAAGGACTGGACAAAGAGGAGGAGCTGCTGGGGCTCCAGGTCCTGGAGGGCTGAAGCAGACCACCCCCCAGAGTGTGGGGTTAAAAATTCCCTGTGCGCAGCGGAGTCCCTGATTTTGCCACCCCCGGGGGATTTGGGGGCATGAACGCCAAGATCACAAGCTCCCAAAAGTTCACTCCATCCCCCTTCCCTGCCAGTTTGGTGTCGAGGTTAGGAGCCGTGGACTCTAATCTGGAGAACAGGGTTTGATTCCCCACTCCTCCTCCATATGCAGCCAGCTGGTTGACCTTGGGTCAGTCACAGTTCTCTCAGAGCTGTTCTCTCAAGAACAGTTCTCGACAGAGCTCTCTCAGCTGCACCTACCTCACAGGGTGTCTGTTGTGGGGAGGGGATTGTAAGCAGCCCTGAGACTCCGAGTGAAGGGCAGGGTACATATCCAACTACTACTACTACAACCACTACTTCTTTTTCTTCTTCTTCATCTACATGCAACTGAACTCCCCCTTGTGTGACCCTCATACCCATCTTCCGCCTTGTCTCCCTTCAATCACTTTCCCCTGTCCAGTTTTAGACTGTAGCCTCTTCGGGGCAGGAACCTATCTGCTAGCTGTTACAAGAAGGGGAGAGAGACAGGAGCAAGCAGGGTCCCTTCCACTGCACCTAGACCAAGACCGTACCGAGGACTCACGCCATGAAAGCCAGCTAAAAACGTATTGTTTTAATCAATGCGCATGTGGGGTTCTTTAATTGCCTCAATTTGCCACGGAAGAGGTTTTTTTGTTGGCTGAAAAGCATGCAATTAATAACTTTTCAATTTGTACCAGGGCATTAAAAACCACCATCATGCCAGTCAACATATGGGATTTGTGTTAATTCCCACGCGGAACAGCCCGCAACTGGAATCTGGAACCTCATTCTAAAATTTATTAATTTACTTTCCCTTTTCCCCGCCTTTCTCCCCAATAAGTAACCAAAATGGCCAACATAGTTCTCCTCTCCTCCATTTTATTCTCACAACAACCCTGTGAGGTAGGTTAGGCTGAGAGGGAGTGACTGGCCCAAGTGTACCCAGCAAGCTTCTGTGGCGAAGCAGAGATTCAAACTGGGACTTGTCTACCTGTCCTACTGCAGACCAACACAGCTTCCATGGCAAAGTGAGATTCGAACCTGGGTCTCTCAGATCCTAATCTGACCCTTTAACCACTACGCCACGCCAGCTCCCGTGGTGTAGAACCCACATCTCTTCCTCCTCCTGCTGAGCTGCGCAGCATGCTGCATTCCCAGAAGTGCACAGGAAAGTACGAGCAGAGAAGCCCCCCGTGACTTTCCTCTGAGGCCTTCTTACCGGCGTCCACCAACCGTGGAACCTCCGAGCGGATCATCCGCAGCTTTAGCCAATCCGGGAGAAGCAGGGCCTCTTCCGAAGTGTCCACCAGGAACGCCGTGGGGATGGGCTTCTTCTCTGGGAACCAGATGTTCAGCAGCGTGTAGAAATCACCGTCCCCAGCTTTATAAGTGAACGATCGAGGGAAGAGAATTATTCGGTTTACCTCTTGCTCAGACATGATAACCGAAAATTCGGCAGGCAGCCCAAGGTAAGGAGAAACACAAAAACTATCCAAGTGGATATGACCGAGCCCAGCCGCTCCAGACGTCTCGGGAGGGCCTGCTTCAGTTGCCCCCACAACCTGAAACTAGATGGGCGGCATCCCAAGAAAGGGCCGCCTTGGTGGTGGCACCAAAACTTTGGAACTCCCCTCCCCAGGGAGATTCGTCCATCTCCCTCTATCGGTGTCTTTTGCCAGCAGGTGAGGACTTTTTTTGTTTTGTCTGGCATACCCCCAATAACGGTTACCGGCCCTCCTTCTAATGCTGCTTATTTGGGGTTCTAATTGAATTATTTTATACTATAACTATATTTCAATAAAACCTTTTAATTTTTTTTTGGTTTGCTGCCTTGTGGGCCCTGATCAGGTGGAAAAGCAGCATAGAAACATTTCAGACAAATAAATAATTTTGCTGTTTTCAGAGCCATGGGTACATTCTCCACGGAGCGTCAAAAATCCCCCCATTGCCCAAAATTCTGCGCCAAGAAATGCGCAATCTTGCCCCCCCTCTCTCTCGTTTATAAAACTCAACGACGTCTGTGCATTTCGTTCCACTCTGCCATTCCCAAGGGGTGGTGTGTAGAAACCTAAAATCTTGGCCAAGGATTTCTAGAAACCGTACCCAGCCATTACTTTTGCTTTCTGAACAGGCCTCCGTTTTGCATCAGTGAGGTCTAGAAACTCTGGGATCTTTTACAAAAAAGGCAGCCGAAATATTCAACAGAGCACCGGTATTTGTTTTCTGCATTCTTGCCAATAAGTGCAGCCCTGTTATTAGAAATTCCCCATGGATTCTTTTGCACGAGCCCTTCCAAGATTCCCTCAAACTGAGCTCGATGAGACAGGCAACTAAGACCCAACCGCGTATCATCTCCAGGGCCCCCAGGTGGGAGACCCCGAATCCATGACCCACAGAAACCCAATTCTAATTAGTTGTTGTAGATTTTCCGGGCTCTATGGCCGTGGTCTTGGCATTGTCGGACCTGACATTTCGCCAGCAGCTGTGACTGGCATCCTCAGAGGTGTAACACAGAAATATGGAGTACTCTCTGTGTCAATGTGAGAAGAAAAATGGTCGGCAGGTAATTTATATCTACTCAGGAAGGTGGGGTAGGGCTGAGTCATTATCCTGTAGGAGTTCCCCAGGCTGTGACATGCTAATGGAGGAGTTTTCCTGAGGAGGTTCTTTTGCATATGGGTTAGCTGTTGAAATTCTAATCTTATCTGTAGTGCTGTTGTAAGACGTAGGGCATTTTGTGTTTTTCAGGACAGGAAACCATGCTCTATTTATTTTTAAACTCAAGAGATTTCTTGTTTAAACTCAACAATTTCCTGTTGAAATGTATGTTTATGAATTTCAATGGCTTCCCTGTGTAATCTGACAAGGGGATTGGATGTGTTGTCCAGCCTTTCAGTGTCTTGGAATAAGATACTGTGTCCTGTTTCAATTAGGCTATGTTCAGCCACTGCTGATTTTTCAGGCTGGCCAAGTCTGCCGTGTCTTTCATGTTCTTTTTTTCTTGTCTTGATGCTACGCTGCGTGGTCCCGATGTAAATCTGTCCACAACTGCAGAGTATGTAATTCTAATTGCTTACATTGCACAGAAAGACAATCACCTCGAGGAGGCCCCAGTGTCAGCAGAATCACCATGGCATGGACTACGAGGATATGCATCGTTGCCGTTTCCCCGCTGATCCAGCGGAGGAAAACCTGATCCTGGGAGTCCGACTGCAAAAAAAAGGCATGGAAGGAGAAGGAAGCGAGTGACTAAAAGGAAGGCAGGTTCCAAGAAAAGCGAGCGAATGGAGAGAAAAGGAGCACCCACCCAGCTGTACAACTCCTCGCCCTCCTTGCTCTGGCGCATGCGCTGCACGTAGCGGGAGAAGACGGAGAGCAGAGCCACCAGGACGGCGTCCGACTCCGAGCAGTAGGAGAGCTTCGAGAAGAGGTGAGACATAATGGTGGAGCGCTCCACGATCAGCCGGGCCACATCCTGCAAGGGAGAGAGCCGGGAGGAGCGGGGTGAACGAGCGAAGTTGGACTGACTATGAAGATTCCGTACTTCTCGTTGGTAGGAAAGTGTCAGGCTCACTATGCATTTCATGATCCACCAGCCATAGAGGAAGGAGGAGGGGGAGATGGCTGTGAAAAACCGAAATGCTTTCGCTTTCCTAAAGGCTCTGATGTGCTTTATTTCTGTAGAGGGGTACGTGATTAGTGTGTGTGGGGGTAGTCTACTGTTATTTCTGGCAGACAAATGCCGTGGGGTGATTGGGTCCTGATCTTTAGAGCCTTTGCTTGAACACCATATATTTACAACCTTCGCGCTTTCAACTTCAGTCCTAACAAAGCTCATGTTCAGTATGGTATCCATCAACGTCTCAATAAACTTAACTTTCTTTGAAGTGAATGGTGCTTGGTGTTGAGTACTGATTTAACCAGGATTCTGACAGAAAGCTGGCAGAAAATGCATTCATTTATTGACTTAAAAAAAAAAAGATTTCTATCCCACTTTTCTGTCCCACCGATGGCAAAAAACAAAGCAAAATATAACAAACCAAGCATTATAAAAATCACACAGCTAATCTGGGATAGTGGTTCACAGCGCTGGGCTAAGGGGACTTGGGTTCAAGCTCCCCTTCCACCAGAAGCTCACAGCATGGCCATTGGCCACTCAAACTTTCTCAGCCTAAATTACCTCACGGAGTTGTCTCGAGGATAAAATGGGGAACGGGAGGACCTCAGTGGGTGACCCTGGGCTAGTCACTCTTTCTCCAGGCCTCGCCTACCTCATGGGGTTGTTGCGAGGATAAAATGGGGGGGGGGTGAGGGAAAAGCCTGTGTTCCTTGGAGGAAGGGTGGTGTAAAAAAGTAACTCTCAGAATAATTTTTTTTAAAAATCCAAAAAAAAAAGGATTTTTAAAAAGTAATAAAAACTTTTTACCAGCAGGGGAAGAAAAAGAAATGGGGAAAAAACCCAGCAACAACAGAATCTATGGAATTTATGGGATAAAACAGCTTCAAGGCATTTAAAAAAAACAAAAAAAAAACACCCAGCATCTCTCCTTATATATAATTGAGTAGTGGGTGCCAAAGTTCCAAAATGCACTCTTTTAGTGTATGGACGCTTGAACTGTCAGTCAGAAGACGCTGGCTGGGTTGACTGGCTGCTTTGTGCAGTCCCGCCCAGTGTTTCAAGGTCTTTTGCATATGGAAGCTGATTGGACTTCACTGCATTCCACACCTCAAACTCACCCCCCTCCCCGCAAGGCAGTTGGAATGTCAGTTGCATATGGAACCTTCAAGGTCTTTTGCATATGGAAGCTGATTGGACTTCACTCCATTCCACACCTCATACTCCCCCCCCAGGCAGTTGGAATGTCTGGTGGTGTGTAGGTCCCAGGATCATGTTTTAAAAGCTGCCTGGGGAGATGGGGACCTCAGACAGGTTACAGTGCCATAGACTCCACCCTCCAACCCAGCTATTTGCTCCTGGGGAACTATTGTTGCCAATCTTGGCCCAGCACCCATCAAACCATTCTCTTCAACCCCCTGCTGTGCAGCACACTTTCCCCTAGGGTTGCCAAACTCCAGGTGGGACCTGGAGATCTCCCACTGCTACAATTGATTTCCAGATGACAGAGATCAGTTTCCCCTGGAGAAAATGGCTGCTTTGGAGGGTAGACCCTATGACATTATACCTGCTGAGTCCTTCCGCCCCCCCACCCCGCCCAATGCTGCCCACTACAGAATCCACCCCCCAAAACTCCAGGTATTTCCCTCCTTAGAGCTGGCAACCCTACATTCCCCTCAATGCCTGTTGGTAGGCAACTAAGCTTGGTCCTGTCACCTACTTTGGCCTTTGGGAGAAAACACATTGGGGCCAGTCCTGATAGGGTTGCCAACTCCAGATGGGAAATTCCTGGAGATTTGAGGGATGGAGCCTGAAGAGGGTGAGGTTTGAGGAGGGGTGGGACCTCAGACAGGTACACTGCCATAGACTCCACCCTCCAAACCAGTCAGTCCCACATAGGGAACCATTGTTGCCAATCTCCAGGTGAGGGCTGGAGAGCACTCAGAATTACAACTGCTCTGCAGAAGGGAGGGCAGAAATCAGCTGAAGTCAAAGGGGCAGATAATGGTAGGTTGATGGTTAGCTGGGAAGGAGATGGGGTTGCCAACTACATGCTGACAAATACCTGGGGATTTGAGGGGTGGAGCCTGGAGAGGGTGGGGTTTGCAGAGGGGTGGGACCTCAGACAGGTAGAATGCCATAGACTACACCCTCCAAACCAGCCACTTTGTCCTGGGTAACAATTGCTGCCAATCTCCAGGTGAGGGCTACAGATCACTCACAATTACAACTGCTCTTCAGGTAGCAGAGATCAGTTCCTCTGGAGAAAACAGTGGACTCTGTCATTATACCCTGCTGAGGTCACCACAGCAAATTGACACTGTTTGCCCAAAGCCAGAGCACTCCCCCAGAGCCTTTTTCTAGATCCCGTTGTATTGCTTTCACAACGGGCTTTACTGCTAGTCCCCTGGGATAAAACAGTTGTCACATGTTTCTGGGAAGCCAAAAGGGAAGGGCACCTGACAGACTGGAAAGTCATTTTATTTCATTTATGCCCCGCTTTTCTCCCCAGTGGGGACCTGAAGCAGCTGGCATCGTTCTCTTCTCCATTTTAATCCTTACAACAACCCTGTGAGGTAGGCTAGGGCTGAGAGGGTGTGCCTGGGCCCAAGGTCCTCCAGGGCACTTCCAAGACAGAGCAGGGGAATCAAACCTAGACCTCCCAGATCCCAGTCCAACACTCTGACCACTACCCCATATTGTCTCTCATTATGGGGGCCACAGCTGAAAAAGCACTGCTGGAACAGACCATGCCAAGCTCAAAAGAAGAGAAAGAAGAAGAGGAGACGGAGGAGGAACAGGAAGAAGAAGAGGACGAAGAGGAGGAGGAGAGTTGGATTAATACCCCGCCCTTCACTTGGAGTCTCAGAGCGGCTTACAATCTCCTTTCCCTTCCCCTCCCCATGACAGACACCCTGTCAGGTAGGTGGGGCTTCTTCCGAGGACTGCTCCTGAGAGAACAGCTCTGAGAGAACTTGTGACTGACCCAAAATCACACCTACGACTGCATGTGGAGGCGTGGGGAATCAAACCCGGTTCTCCCAGATTAGACTCTGTGCTCTTAACCACGACACCAAACTGACCCAAGGTCTGACTGTAAGAGGGATTTTGTGAGGGCACAATGCAAGGGAGGCCAGTGGTATTTGGCAGAAGGGGGACATATTAATAGAAAACCACCAAACAAAACGACCCCACGAGAGACCACGGCCGCTACTATCTCAGTGTGCGGCCCTAGATTCGCTCCCCCCCTCTCACCAGGGCGAGGTCGTTGTGGTGCCCTTGTTCCTCCACCGGGGCATGCTGGGAAAGGTACATCAAGTAAGCGCTGATGGTCTGAGGTTCGGTCTCCATGTGGATGGCCTGGAACGAGATGGCACCGGCTGAATGGCGGGGGAGTGCGAACAACAGACCTCCTGGCCTGCCAGGGGGACAGCCCTGCCCCGAGAAGCCCAGTCCTCCCTGCTGCCCAGGATGGCTCACCTGCTGCAGGGCCACTGCCGTGGTGGCCCGCACGCTGTCAAAAAGCGGCAGCTTGGGCAGGTCCCGGAGCAGCCACTGGTAGCCTTGCAGGAGCTCCGAGTCCCCCGAGTCCTCCTCCATCGGGTGCTCCTTTTCCTCTCTGTCGCGGAGGCCCCCTTCCGAGAGCACCAAGGATAGTCCCTGTTAACAGCAGAAGAAGAGATTGGTCGGTGGGGCTGAGAGAGCTCTTTCGAGGACTGCTCCTGAGAGAACGGCTCGGAGACAGCTTGTGACTGACCCAAGGTCACCCAGCTGGCTGCATGTGCAGGGGGAGGAAGAAGAGATTGGATTTATACCCCGCCCTTCACTACCCACAGGAGCCTCAGAGCGGTTTACAAATGCCTTTCCCGTCCCCTCCCCACAAAAGACACCCTGTGAGGTCGGTGGGGCCGAGAGAGCTCTTTCGAGGCCCACCCTTGAGAGAACGGCTCCAGGAGAGCTTGTGACTGACCCAAGGTCACACCAGCAGCTGCATGTGGAGGAGTGGGGAACCAAACCCACTTCTCCCAGATTAGAGTCCGCGCATTTCACCACTACACCAAACAAAGAGGGGGAGAGAAACATGGCGGCGGAGCCCTTAAGAGGTGAGGCTGAAGCAGCCCCTCTGTTCTCAGTCTGAGCATCTTGAGTGTTTGAACATTCAAGCAGTTCTGGCACTCTCAGCCCCACGCCATCCGGGGCAGAATCTTCCTCTTTTGCTGCTCTTCCCCGGGTGGCTCCTCCTCCAGATAGTCCTGGGCCCTTCTCTGTTCCCAGCTAGGCCCTTCCCTTCACGGGACCCTTTCTTCCTAAAGCTGGGAAGCTCCCCATCCCAGCTAGGCTCCTCCACTGGGTTCTTCCCTTTGATTGACCCTTTCCTCCCCCGGATAGCCCCTTTTCCCTTCCCCATTCCAGCTAGAGCCTTCCACTGGCCCCTTCCACCCTAGACCCGTTCATCCTGCGGCTAGATCCTTATCCGTTCCCCATGGCGCTTCTACTGGAGCTTTCCCCATTCCAGCTAGACTCTTTCACGGGGCCCGTCCCTTCACTGGACCCAATCCTCCTCCGGCTAGACCCTTGACCCTTTGGCTGGGCCCTTCCTTCTGCCAGGGAGACACTTCCACTAGACCCTTCCCTTCCCTAGCTAGACACGTCTAGGGCTTTCCCCATTCCACCTAGACTCTCCACTGGACACTTTCCTCCTCCAGCTGGAATCTTGACCCTTCCACTGGGCCCCTTCTTCCTTCAGCTAGATGTCTGACTCTTCTCCAAGAGCTTCCCCCTTTTCAGTTAGACCCTTCCCTTCTCCAGCTAGACCCCACTACTAGGGCTTTCCCCCCTTCCAGCTAGACCATTCTACTGGGCCCTTTCTTCCTGCAGTGAGATCCTTCTTGCTAGACCCATCCCTTCTCTAGCTAGACCCTCTAGCTTTCCCCATTCCAGTTAGATTCTTCACTGGACCCTTTCCTCCTCCAGCTAGACCCTTGACTCTTCGCCTAGAACTTTCCCCATTCGGGCTAGACCCTTCCCTTCTCCGGCTAGACCCTGCTACTAGGGCTTTCCCCCTTCTGGCTAGACCCTTCCACTGGACCGTATCTTCCTTCAGCTAGACCATTGACTGTTCCCCCATTCCAGCCAGACCCTTCTACTAGAGCTTTCCCCATTCCAGTCAGACCCTTCTATAACTAAAGCTTTCCCCATTCCAGCTAGACCCTTCCCCCCTCCCCACCTCACCTTCATGGCCAGAACTCGCGAAGCCACCTGCGAGGAACTCAGTCGCCTCAGGAAATAGTCGAGCACTTCGCAGGTCGTCTGCTCGTCCGCCTTGGGCCCCAGCAGCAGGTCCTGGAGGCGCCCAAGCAGCTGCCTCTGCTTCTGTTGCCTCTGCGGGAAAAGGACTGGTTGTTTCCGGCCGCCCCGCCGGCAACCAGAGGGCCGACGGGACAGAGTGCCGAGGTGGGGCCGCCTCACCTGCCGCTTCTTGGCCCGCTGCTCTTTGCTTTCGCCCTCTTCCTCCTCCTCGCCGGAGGCCGACTCGTCGGCCGCGTCGTGAAAAAAAACACTGCACCGGCAGGACATCCAAAGATCCCTCGCTGGACTGGACCAGGTCCGCCAGCCAGGGCATGGATTGGGAAGAAGCCTGAGGAAGACATGAAAGAGGGATGGAAGGAGAACCAGGAAGTGAAGGCTCCTGGAGACAGAGACACCACACGACACTCCACCAAGTTTTCTCACCGGTGCCGATGCCAGCTTCTGGGGTCTCTCTCAACAGCCAGAACAGGCAGGCCTGAGGAAAATAAGGCCCACCCTGACATTTCCCCTCCCTCCTCTCCCAGATTTCTCAAACTCCATTGGCAGCCGGGATCCCTTTTAAGAAAGCTGATGGTGGGACGCCAAACATCACGGCTGGAATGCCCGTTTCTTTTGCTTCGCTGTCCGTTTCCTATTGGAAACACAGGCTTCTTGGGTTTTCAGAGGCCCTGCCGAAAAACCTGCAAAGCCTGTTTTGCCAAAGACAATGGGGGGGGGATGAGCATGCGTGCTGCAGGTTGAAAGAAGAAGCCCAGTGGATTAGGATAAAAGGGTTGTTCTAATCCAGCATCCATTTCCAATAACGGTTACCTGGATGCTCTGGGCATCTCTCCAGAAGGAGGGCAACAAATTAAGTAAATTAAATATTAAATAAATAATAACAAAAACAATAATAGTAGTAAAAAGATGATATTGGATTTATACCCTGCCCTTCACTCAGAGTCTCAGTGCGGTTTACAATCTCCTTTCCCTTCCCCTCCTTTCTTCACCCAAAAAGTGATGAACACATGGGATTCACTGCCACAGGAGGTGGCGGCGGCTACAAGCACGGATGGCTTCAAGAGCGAATTAGATAAGCATATGGAGCAGAAGTCCATCAGTGGCTATTAGCCACAAGGCATAGATAGGAACTCTCAGGCTGGGGCAAAGGATGCTCTCTCTTCTTGGTGCTTGGGGGGGAAGGCAACAGTGGGAGGGCTCCTAGTGTCCTGGCCCCACTGCTGGACCTCCTGGTGGCACCTGGTATTTTTGGCCACTGTGTGACCCAGAGTGTTGGACTGGATAGGCCATGGGCCTGATCCAACGTTGACTTCTCTTATGTTCTTAACAGACACCCTGTGAGGTAGGTGGGGCTGAGAGAGCTCTTTCGAGGACTGCTCTTGAGAGAACTGCTCTGAGGGAACTTGTGACTGACCCAAGGCCACCCAGCCGGCTGCATGTGGAGGAGTGGGGGAATCAAACCCGGTTCTCTCAGATTAGAGTCCGCCGCTCTTAACCACTACGCCAAACTGGCTCTCACACAGTGCTTCTATTGTATCGCCTGTGACTCAAGGCATCCGTCCCCTCCCCTCTCTCCTTTTAGGTCAGCTCTAATATCCTTTCCGAAATTCCCAGCCCGCATCCACGCACGCTTGATGTTTCCAGAGGAGCAGCCTCTCTTGCGGCCAACTTAAATAGGAGCCCAGCAGTACCTCTGCACACTTCTCATGCCAACGGATTTGGTTTTATTTATTCATGTTATCCAGGGTCCGCCTTTCTCACCGGGAGTCAAGGCGGATGACGCACAGTGAATCAGTAAAAGCAACAAAATGGGACATTCGGTAACCAATGAACCAAAATTTTACAAATCTGGAACAGCATCTGCCTAATAAGAGCATAAGAGAAGCCATGTTGGATCAGGCCAACAGTCGCAAGCTTCAAGAGGAGATTGGATAAACATATTGAACAGATGACCATCAGTGGCCACTGCTGACAAGGTACAGATGGAACACTCTGTCTGGGGCAGGGATGCTCTGTCTTCTTGGTGCTGGGGGGAGGGGCAACAGTGGGAGGGCTTTTGGAGTTCTGGCCCTGCTGGTGGACCTCCTGGTGGCACCTGGGTTTGGACCACTGTGTGACACAGAATGTTGGATCGGATGGGTCATTGGCCTGATCCAACATGGCTTTTCTTACGTTCATATGTCCAAAACAGTGATGCTCTGTGTTCTTGGTGCTTGGGGAGCAACAGTGGGAGGGCTTCTGGGGTTCTGGCCCCACTGGTGGACCTCCTGATGGCACCTGGGTTTTGGCCACTGTGTGCCACAGAGTGTTGGACAGGATGGGCCATTGGCCTGATCCAACATGGCTTCTCTTATGTTCTTATGTCTGGGGCAGTGATGCTCTGTGTTCTTGGTGCTTGGGGGGGGGCAACAGTGGGAGGGCTTCTGGAGTTCTGGCCCCGCTGGTGGACCTCCTGATGGCACCTGGGTTTTGGCCACTGTGTGACACCGAGTGTTGGACTGGATGAGCCATTGGCCTGATCCAACATGGCTCCTCTTATGTTCTTATGACTGGGGCAGTGATGCTCTGTATTCTTGGTGCTTGGGGGGGTAACCGTGGGAGGGCTTCTGGAGTTCTGGCTCCACTGGTGGACCTCCTGATGGCACCTGGGTTTTGGCCACTGTGTGACACAGAATGTCGGACTGGATGGGCCATTGGCCTGATCCGACATGGCTCCTCTTATGTTCTTATGACTGGGGCCGTGATGCTCTGTATTCTTGGTGCTTGGGGGGGGCAACCGTGGGAGGCCTTCCGGAGTTCTGGGTCCACTGGTGGACTTCCTGGGTTTTGGCCACTGAGTGACACAGAGTGTTGGACCAGATGGGCCATTGGCCGGATCCCTCGGGTGACCCTACCTGTCTCTGGATGATGTTGAGCAGGAAGTCGGGGTTCCGGCTGCGGCAGAGGAGGTGTCCCAGGCGGAGGGACTGATTCAGGCTCTTCACCTGATCCAGGACAGGCTGGGGAGGCCTGCGGGGAGGGCCCCTGCCGGAGACACAGAAAGGGGGGGATTTACACACCCCACCTACCCAAACCACCCCTTTGGTAGAAAGCGGATCAAAGCTCCCCCTCCCCCGCTACGATCTCGTTTCCCTCGGTCTCCCTCCCTCCGCTCTTTGCACATGACCCAAGGAACTGCGACGGCTGCTCACTGTGGGTCCAGGCTGGTGAGCTGCGACAACAAGAGGCTGCTGCTCTCCGTGATGGTCTGCTTGGTCGAGGCGGCGGCCAGGTGGCCCTCGAAGGCCAAGATCTCCTGCTTCTCCCGCTGCGAGATCTGCAGCTCCCGGTTGATCATCTCCGTGCGGGTCTCCTCGTCCGTCAAGGTGCAAGGCGGGTAGGAGTAGTTGCTGCAAAGGAACAGGAGAAAGGGGATGTTCAGGTGCACTCGTTTGGTTGGTTTTAACATCCTCGCATGCCAAAATTAAAAAAAAAAAAGACACTGAGGCAACGCCAGATGAAGAAAACCTGGGAACATTACATGCAAATCTCAAGTCTATTTTCGCGCAACCAGTTAGTTGCGTGCGCTCAGGATTCATTCTATTAAGCTGAGTTTGCAGGGGACCTCTCTCAGTCCTACACCATGCTCTCCCTTTGTGCTGCCATTCCTAACTAAGGTCATGCACTTGGATACATGAACCTGCCTTACGCGGAATTAGAACTCTGGTCCATCAAATTCAGTCTTGTCTACTCAGACTGGCAGCAGCTCTCCAAGGTCTCAGGCAAAGGTGCTTCACCTCCTACATGGTCCTTTTAACTGGAGGTGCCGGGGATTGAACCTGGGACCTTCTGTATGCCAAGCAGAGGCTCTACCACTGAGCCATGGCCCCTCTTTACAGCTCTCCAGGGTCTCAGGCGGAGGTCTTTCCCATCACCGCCTGCCTGGTCCTTTTTAACTGGAGATGGCGGGGATTGAACCTGGGACCTTCTGTATGCCAAGCAGAGGCTCTACCACTGAGCCATGGCCCCTCTTTACAGCTCTCCAGGGTCTCAGGCGGAGGTCTTTCCCATCACCGCCTGCCTGGTCCTTTTTAACTGGAGATGGCGGGGATTGAACCTGGGACCTTCTGTATGCCAAGCAGAGGCTCTACCACTGAGCCATGGCCCCTCTTTACAGCTCTCCAGGGTCTCAGGCGGAGGTCTTTCCCATCACCGCCTGCCTGGTCCTTTTTAACTGGAGATGGCGGGGATTGAACCTGGGACCTTCTGTATGCCAAGCAGAGGCTCTACCACTGAGCCATGGCCCCTCTTTACAGCTCTCCAGGGTCTCAGGCGGAGGTCTTTCCCATCACCGCCTGCCTGGTCCTTTTTAACTGGAGATGGCGGGGATTGAACCTGGGACCTTCTGTATGCCAAGCAGAGGCATTACCAATGATCCACAGCCCCTCTTTACAGCTCTCCAGGGTCTCAGGCGGAGGTCTTTCCCATCACCTACTGCCTGGCCGTTTTCAACTGGAGATGCCGGGAATTGAACCTGGGACCTCCTGCATGCCAAGCAGATGCTCTACCGCTGAGCCATGGCCCTTCGCCTCTGCTGCATGCAGCAGAATTGCCCGGGAAAATGGACTGTTCTGTTTCCGATCATGCAGGGTGAGGAAGATATTTTCCAGTGCTCCCCCCCCCCCCAGCCAGCCGTTTTTAATCTGCTCTTCCTTGCAATCAGAGCACAGCAATTTGAAAGGTTCGGGTCGGGTCTGCTCCGGGCCCGGCTAGCTTCCCATCAGCAAGGAGATTTTCTTTTGCTTTGCAAAGGGAGCCTTTACAAACCAGATTCCCCGCCACCAACTGAAATCCCCGGATCCACCGCACGGTTCCCTCTTGGCCCCCTCGGCTTACTTGGTCATGACCATTTCCATGAGCATCTTCAGCGTGGGGTACTCCTCCCAGGCAGCAAGACCTACGAGACAGAGCGGGGGGACGGGGGGCGTGGGGCGGGGGGAGAGGGAGAAGAGCAGAGGGAAATGTCACAGACCAAACACGCATCTGAGTATCTTGGCAATGCACTCAGCAAAGACACCCTTCCCCAAGGGGTTACGTATTCTTACTGTTGAAGAATACTGGAGTGCAAAGTCTAGGAGGCAACGCTGATGAGGTGATGCTTGGGTGCCCCCTTCAGCCCCGCCCCTTTCTGCTTTAGCCCCGCCCACTGGGAACCACCACAGTCAGTCAACTGGGAACTATAAGTATAATATCGCCCTGGCCTGGACGGCTGAGACGATCCAATCTCGTCAGACCTCGGAAGCTAAGCAGAGTCGGCCCTGGTTAGTACTTGAATGGGAGAACCCCGAGGAAGTCCAGGGTTGCTACGCAGAGGCAGGAAATGGCACAGCACCTCTGTTATCTCTTGCCCTGATGTGGACAGCCCAGTTAGTCCAATCTCGGCAGATTTCAGAAGCTAAGCAGGGTCGGCCTTGGTTGGTACTTGCTTAGGAAGACCACCAAGGAAGTCCAGGGTCGCTACGCAGAGGCAGGCAATGGCAAAATCACTTCTGTCTCTCGCCCTGACCTGGATGGCCCAGGCTAGCCCGATCTCATCAAACCTCGGAAGCTAAGCAGGGTCGGCCCTGGTCAGTACTTGGATGGGAGACAATTACGGAAGTCTGGGTTGCTATGCAGAGGCAAGCAATGGCAAACCACCTCTGCTATCTCTTGCTCTGACCTAAAGTCCCCAGGCTAGCCTGATCTGGTCAGATCTCGGAAGCTAACCAGGGTGGGTCCTGGTTAGTATTTGAAGGGGAGGTAATTAAGGAAGCCCAGGGTCGCTACGCAGAGGCAGGCAAGGGCAAACCACCTCTGCTCGTCTCTTGCCTTGAAAGCCCTACCGGGTCGCCCTAAGTCGGCTGCGACTTCCTTCTGGACTCACCGATGTTCTCAGGATTGAAGGCAGCCACCACCAGCAAAAGAGGCCAGGCCTTCCAGTAGAGGGTGGAGATGGCCAGATTCGGTGGCTGGTACCTTAAAATAATAATCACAAAAAAAGGTTGCAGCAGCAGAAGTCCAGTGGCACCTTAGAGACGGGCGAGATTTTCGGGGGGGTGGGGGGGTGAGCTTCCGAGAGGAACAGACGGTGTTTCACTTTAAAGGTTCGACAACAATGAAGAAACAAACTGGTGCAGAGGGAAACAGACGCTTTAATCATGATACAACCCCTACGCTTTTCACATGCAACTTCTTCAGGGGGAATCTAAGGAAATAAAAAATAGGGACATATTCGATACATAGTTTTAAAGAGCTGATAAAACCCAGGGCAATTTCACAGAGCACGTGCAGAGTGCAATTCATAATTAGTTGCTGATGTTCAGAAAACCAAACCAACATTGACATATACTACACATATGTATGTGTGTGTGTGTGTGTATATAAATAAAATGTAATACGTAATGCATATATATATATATATATATATATATATATATATACAGATAGATATATATATAATATGTAGAAAATCTCCTTCCCCTTCCCACAACAGACATCCTGTGAGGTAGGGTGGGGCTGAGAGAGCTCTTGACAGAAACGGCTCTTTTTCAAGAACAGTTGTGCCAGAACTATGGCTTGCCCAAGGTCATCCAGCAGCTGCGAGTGGAGTCCGCGCACTTAACCACTACACCAACCTGGTATATGTCAACGTTGGTTCGGTCTTAACATCAGCAACTAATTATGAATTGCACTCTGTACGTGCCCTGTGAAACTGCCCTGGGTTTTATCAGTTTTTTAAAACTATGAATCGAATATGTCCAGTTTTTTATTCTCCCCTTAGATCCCCCAACAGAAGAAGCTGCCCGTGAAACGCAGAGGGGTTGTGTCATCGTTAAAGCTCCTGTTTCCCTCTGCACTACTTGGTCTCTTCATCTTCGTTTTGCCTTGGGAGCGGCTCCCTTTTTCTTCACTTTCAAGGTTCCGTTAAAAACAAAAAAGTTTTCTTAATGCCCACATGTACACTCTGTATGCCATAGTGTCATAGATGCAACGAACATGAAACTGAGCAAACTTCAGAGGACGGCGGAAGACCGGAAGGCCTGGCGTGACCTGGTCCGTGGGGCCGCGAAGAGTCGGACTCGACTGTGCGACTGAACAACAACAACAACAGTACTCTGTATGACAAAGCAATTCAGCAGTGGTTGGGGGGGGGGGGGAAATGCTGAAATATAGTTTCCTGATATTCAGCTTGCCTTGACCTGGATAATGCATCCCTTCTGATCTCGGAAGCTAAGCAGAGTCGGCCTTAGTTAGTTCTTGGAAGGGAGAACACCCAGGGAATCCCGGGTTGCTTTGCAGAGGCTGGCAACAGCAGACCACCTCTGAACGTCTCTCACCCTGACCTGGATGGCCCAGGCGAGCCCACTCTCCCCAGATCTCAGAAGCTAAGCAGGGTCAGCCCCGGTTAGGACTCAGATGGGAGACCACCCAGGGAGTCTGGGGTTGCTACGCAGAGGCAGGCGGTGGCGAACTACATTTGTCTGTCTTGAAAACCCCAGGAGGGATTGCGGTAAATTAAGTTAGCTTAACTTGACAGCACATTACACACACACACACACACACACACTATCGAACTTAAAATCTTTTTCTCTCTCCCCACTGAATGTCCGAAAACTGTACCCGGGGGGCAGTTGGATGTTCTCCGGGTGGTGGTAGGTGCAGAGGTTCAGGACCGCGTCGATCAGCTGGATCCTTTCCACTCTCAAGACTTCAAGATCTGAAAGCCACAAAAACCCGTTAAAAAGCAAGGCGGACTCTCTGCGGGCACCGACAGAACTCTGCAGCCAGGAAACTAAAAGCACCTTAAAAGGTAAAGGTAAAGGTTCCCTTGCTCGAAAGCCAGTCGAATCCGACTCTAGGGTTGCGGTGCTCATCTCCATTTCAAAGCCGAAGAGCCAGCACTGTCCGAAGACGTTTCCGTGGTCATGTGGCCGGCATGACTAAACACCAAGGTGCACGGAACGCTGTTACCTTCCCACCGAAATGGTACCTATTTATCTACTTGCAATTTCTTGCTTTCGAACTGCTAGGTTGGCAGGAGCTGGAACTAGAGACGGGAGTTCACTCCGTCATGCGGCACCCGGGTCTCGAACTGCTGAACTACCGACCTTCAGTGTCTTAACCACCTGAGCCACCGCAGCTCCAAAAGCACCTTAAAGACTAACAAAATTTGTGCTACAGTATGAACTTTCATGAGGCACTACTCACTTCTTCAGATATCACTGCTTCACATCTTCAGGTATCTTAAATCAAATCGATTTAAATCACGATTTAAGTCACTAGTCAGTCAGACTAGATTTAAATCATGCTTTTTAAATCATTCTTGCTGGTACAATCTTAATATTTACCACCAGATAATTTTTTTTGAAATTTAGCACTTAAGAGTTGATTCTGTGTACATAGATTTGCAAAGGAACAATGGGATTAAGGTCTTTTTCTCAACTCTGTATGTTTATTTTTTGGTTGTGAAGAAGAGGCATGTGATGATCTCTGCAGACACAAATGCATAGTTTCGAGAACAGTAAAACCGAGCATCTGTGATAATACCTTCTAGACAGAAAAACTGCCCAATAATCTTACAGAAACCTCTGGAAGAGCATGACATTGTGAATGGATTCATTGAACTCATTTACCAAAAAATATAAACATTGCATGAATACACAGCCTCATGCTACATAATACAAAACTACTCCTCATTTCATGATGAATAACCTTTGGATTATAATGCATCTTAAACAGAAAACTATCTTTAGATAGGTTTTTCCTCAAAAAGCATTTTATTTTTAAAAATCCAATTTAAATTTTAAAAATCTGATTGGGGGGGGTTCTTTAAAAAATCATGGATTTTTTAGAAGCACGAACACTTGAGCGAGGAGAGCCCTACCGTCGGCCTGCACGGCAGCTGCCCGTTTCACCAAGTGGTCGGCCAGCTCCATGGCGTCGGCGGGGCCGAGGGGGAGGTCGCGCGACAAGCCGATGACGAGGATCCGCATGAGCGTGTCTTCGAGGATGGGCACTTCGGAGCAGAGGCGGAGAAAGAAGCTGGGGAGGGAAAAGGGGGAGCCGTTGACTGCGGGGGGACCTCTTTTGGTTGGCCAGGCAAGGAAAGCGACATGCGGCTGATCGGCATGACGGCCAGGAAGGATCTTTTCCCTCTAAGGCGGGGCTGCTGCTATCCCGCAGACTATGAGGGAATGCACATGGCATGCATAGCCCAGGAGCGGATAGAGAATTTGGGGTCCTAATTTGGGGCAGGGAAGTTTGGGGTGTAGTCCAACTGCTTTGAGGCTGTGGGTCACCAAAACAGGGAAAAGGCTGGAAGACCATCTATTGAGGGCGCTCGGACAGAGAGCGGCTGTCCCCAGCTCTGCTACCCATGAGGCTTTTAACTCAGGGGCAGAGATCGAACCTGGGATCTTCTTCACATAAGGCCAGCTGGCACTGGGCACCAGGCGACCGCATTTCTCCCTGGGACAGTTGGGTGCAGAGCGTCAAGTCAGGGCTCACACTCACTTGCGGTCGCTCTCGGGGGGCCAGTTGTCCCATTTGTAGTAGGTCTCCGGTTGCTCCGTGAACAGCACTTTGTGGAGGCTATAGTTTAAAAAAATAATAAAAGGAACCACGAAATCATCAGAGCCTGTTGGGATCAGACGTGAAACGTTCGAAGGTTACCATTCTTCACCAAACTGTTGGGCGTCAGGGAGCCCAGCCAATGGGGAGACACTCAGGGAGCCCAGCTGGTGGGGGCCGGACACCCAGGGAGCCCGGCTGGCAGGGGACCCCGTGAATAACCTGCAGAGGTCCCACGGCCGCCTCAGCAGAAAGAAGCAGGCTGGAGTGGGCTGTGCTGAAGGCGATTTCGCAGGGAGTTTTGAAACATAAGAACATAAGAGAATCCAGTGGCCCCTCCAGTCCAACACTCTGTGTCACACAGTGGCCAAAAATACCAGGTGCCATCAGGAGGTCCAGCAGTGGGGCCAGGACACTAGGAGCCCTCCCACAATTGACCCCCCACCCCCAAGCACCAAGAATACAACAGCCCACCAGATGGCCTGAAGGCTGAGGGAGCAGTCCTGTCGAAAGAGAAGCAGGTCTGATCCTGTGAGCCTGGACATTACGAGCAAGTCTCAATGGCCTCTTCAGGGGAAAAGCAGAAAGGATGTGCAATAAACAAATGAAAGCATACAGGGTGCACAGCTGCCATCGACAGAACCATCCCCCCCTGCCAACAGGGGAATCCCGCACAAGCGTTACTAATCATCAGCAACGGAGACCGCCAGAGCAGTAAGATTCTCCTCCCGAGAGCAGGATTCCTTTAAGGCCAGGACAGGCAAATATTGTGCCACCCACGGAGCACTTTTCATGTTCAGCTGGACAAAGGAAAGGGAGCAACACGCCTAAGCCCCCGCTTCCACCCCCCGCCCCCGCTCAGCTCTGTTGCCTACCAGTGCACGTAGTCTTTGGGAGCCAGTTTGGTGATCGAGGGGACGACTGTGTGCAGCCACCACACGGCGTCCCGCTGAATAGCCGCGATCTGGTTCTGGAACGCCCGCAGGACCTCCAAGTCTGGGCAGAGACGACAAGACCAAAGCCGGACAGAATTAAAATTGGGAAATGCTTATTTTTAAAACAATTTTTATTAGGATATATCAATAAGTCAAGTTATACATCACCTTACAAAATATATCCTTTTCTCCTAATTACCCACCCCTTCTGACTTCCCACAGTGCTCCAACCTCCAGCCCAAATCTTGTGTTCCCCTCTTTCCCACTTATTCATTCATCAAATTCTACAGGTAACATATCTTTTAACTAGACTCCTCTTTTCCAGACTGAACCTTCCCAAGTCCCTCAGCCTTTCCTCGTAGGGCTTTTTGGTCTCCAGGCCCCCGATCGTCCTCGTCGCTCTCCTCTGCACCCGTTCCATTCTGTCCACATCCTTTTGGAAGGGAGGCCTCCGGAACTGCGGCCTGACATTTGAGCTTACTCTTTTTCTCTCCCTTGTCCCACGCGATCCCGGCTTCCTTCACCTGGGCGGTGATGCTGAGCATCATGGAGACGGCCAGCAGGTCGGTGATGTGGATGACAAACCGGTCCTGTCGGGAGGAGAGAGAACCAGGGGGTGTCAACGCGCTGGCCGCATCCCACAACCTCTTACACCAAAATCGCAGGAAGCTCGTTTTGCCAGCCAGAAGCCAATCTGGTGCCGGGAGGGCGAGCGGCGTCAAATCCGACAATGAGCCCAAGCCGATTTTGAAACACGGCCGCATGGAAAATCAACGAGGCACGGGCACCAGTATTAAACTTCAGGTCAACACATGTTGAATCCAATAAAATCTACTGGCGAATATACTGAATTTACAATGATACGGCTACTGATCTTATCTAATTTCGTTTCTCAAGGAACAATACCAGAGATATTGTGGTAAATGTTGATGTCAGCACTAAGCTTACGAAAAATGCTTTCTTTTATGCTGTTAAGTTTATATATACTTATCCTGTAAACTATTATTACTTGTTATTGGAATTTTGAAAATTGAATACATTATTCAATTAAAAAAAAGAAAACTTCAGGTCAACACATGATCTGCTCCCTTCAAACCCTCTATATCGCAAATGGTTATTCTTACAAAACGTCAAAAACAAGCTACAAATACATAAGACATTTCTAACGTCCAAAATATATTCAGATCTAAAAGCACGCTGCCAACAATATTTAAAGGCTTTACAGCCAGGTGGCAAGTGGAGGAGAGGGGAATCAAACCCGGTTCTCCCAGATTAGAGTCCGTGCACTTCACCACGACACCAAACTGAAGAAGAGATTGGATTTATACCCCGCCCTTCACTACCCGAAGAAGTCTCAGAGTGGCTTGCAAACTCCTCTCCCTTCCCCTCCCCACAACAGACACCCTGTGAGGTAGATGGGGCTGAGAGAGCTCTGACAGAAATGACTCTTTTTTTTCAAGAACAGCTCTTATCAGAGCTACGGCTTGCCCAAGGTCATCCAGCCAGGTGCAAGTGGAGGAGTGGGGAATCAAACCTGGTTCTCCCAGATTAGAGTCCGCGCACTTAACCACCACACCAAACTGGCTCTCAACAAACAAGAAAAATCAACAAGCATGGCACGGGTCTTAAATGAGGGGAGTGCCGGACAGCTTTCTGCTGCGTCACCCCTCAAAGCAAACAAATAAAGAAGGAAGACGTGCCGATCCGCCAATTCGCGCCCAAGTAGCACCTTAGAGACTAACATCATTTGTAGGGTATGAGTTTTGAAAAGCCAGTGCGCTCTTTGTCAGACAAGAGAGCTCCCACTCTCAAAAGCTTCTCCCCTGAACTCTTGCTGGTTTCTAAGGCGCTGCTGGACTTGAGTTCTTGATACAGAGAGGGATTAAGAAACGGAATTCTTGGTCAGACGTTGCAGTGAGGGCCACAGGAACAGACAGCTTTAAAAGGGGATTAGACAGAATCATGGAAGAAAGGTCTATCAGTGGCTCCTAGCCATGGTGACCGAGGGGAACCTCCACATTCAGAAGCACTAAGCCTCTGAATCCCAGAGCCAGTAGGCAATATGCCGTTTGCTGGTCTTCCAGAGGAACTGGTTGGCCACTGTGTGAGACGGGATGCTGGATTAGATGGGCCCTCACTGGTCTGATCCAGCAGGGCTCTTCTGATATTCTTCCTAGGGGGAGGCCTCGGCCTCTGTGCCCTGTTGTTGGCCCAACAAAGGAACTGCTCAGCCACTGTGTGAGACAGGATGCTGGACTGGATGGACCCTCACTGGTCTGATCCAGCAGGGCTCTTCTAAGGTTCTCATAAGGGGAAGGCCTCGGCCTCTCTGCCCTGTTGTTGGCCCTCCAGAGGAACCGGTTGGCCACTGTGTGAGACAGGATGCTGGGCTTGATGGACCGCTGGTCTGATCCAGCAGGGCTCTTCTGATGTTCTTACTGCAAACCAACACACCTTCCCTCTGAGACTATGTTGACCCATAGGGCAAAAACCATCCTTTCCCCCCACCTTCAGTCTAGGATATAAGGGCTGTGGGATCTCCATTCCCACTTGTATCTGATGAAGAGACCTCTGACTCTCAAAAGCTCATCCCCCCCAAAATCTCGCTAGTCTTGAAGGCGCTACGGGACTCGAATCGAGCTCTTATACTGCAGACCAACACCCAGGGTTCCCTCTAAGCCAAGTTAGTATGAGCTAGCTCACAGTTTTTTAGCCTTCGGCTCACACATTTTTTCTCTTAGCTCCGGAAATATGGCTCCAGAGCAAACTAATTGATGCAGTAGCCAAATTGCTCGCTCACAAAGTTATTGCCAGTAGCTCACAAAGTAGAATTTTTGCTCACAGGACTCCACAGCTTAGAGAGAGCATTCAACACAATTCCCCTCTGAAACTCTCTTCAAGGAGAAAAGGAAGCCCCAAAGGCATTCCATACAGAAGGGAAAGGCCAAAGCGAGGCCTCGGCGGGAGGCAGAAAGAGAGGCAGACGGGCACCCTCACCTTGAACTCCATCTCACCGTACTGGGACTCCTTCCGCTCCTGCATGAGGCCCAGGCAGAAGGCCTGGAAGTTGATCTCGTGCTTCATCTGCTTGATGATCTCCCGCAGCAACGCCCGCGAGGCCCGCAGGTAGTCGTCTTTGTTGGTCAGCAGGTCCTGGAACACCATCGCCAGGAACTGGCGAAAAGAGACCGGGGGAGAGAGGTGGGACGGGGCCAAACTGGGATACTGGCAAAGCCCCTCCACAACTGCAGAATTAAAACTGAACCAGTAGCAGCAACCAGGTGGGAGGGCGGGCAAGGTGGCAGGGAGGAAGGCGGGGAATGTCTTTCAGCCAGCTGAACGGGACACAGGCGGAGTTTCTCTTCCTCCTCTTGATTGACCTGGAAGGCCCAGGCTAGCCCGACCCTGTCAGATCTCAGCAGCTAAGCAGGGCTGGCCCTGGCTAGTATTTGGAAGGGTGACCTCCAAGGAATATCAGGGTTGTGACACAAAGGCAGGAAACGGCAAACCACCTGTAAAAATGTCTCTTGCCTCAAAAACAAGTCTAGCTCGCCACCTAGTGGTGCATAATGCTAAAAGAGCTAGAACTTCTCGCTGCCGGACAACTTTAGGATTTCCTGGCTATATGACACACACTGCCATACGATAATAATTTTATTATTTGCAGGTATTTAACTTAGAGGCATTTCTACCATGCAGGAATGGTGGGAGTTTCATTGCCAGCTCTTCTGGTTGCAGGTATTAAACTTAAAGGTATTTCTATCATCGGGGTGGGGGGTGGTGGAAATCTCCTTGTCAGCTGAATGGGAGGCATTCCTACCATGCAGGAAGGGAGGAAACACTGCATTGCCAAGTCTCTGGGATCTGCCTGATCTGGGGGGATACAATCAGGGGTCATTTCCTGCGGGAGCGTACAGGAGCGGAGCTCCAGCAGTAAGGAGCCCAGGGGGTGGGCACATGCAACAAGCCCCGCCCCCTGCTCCCAGCAGCCCTCAGTCGGGCCACGAGGAGCAAGAAGCAGCCAGGTAAGTTGCAGAGCCCCCCCCCCCTCCTTTCACGTAGAAGCTCTCCTTCCCCTGTGAGGGCAGATCTGTGCATTCCCCCCCCCCAATAGCTAGCAATCCAAAACAGTCCAGTGGCACCTTTTAGACTAAGTGTTATTCAGGCACAAGCTCTCCCTCCTCTGTGAGGGCAGATCTCCCTCCTCTGTGAGGGCAGGTCTGCATGTCCCCTCCCCCAAAAGCTAGCAATCCAAAACAGTCCAGTGGAGCCTGAGTGGTGGGTGTTGCCTTCTGACACACTTCCGGTGATCTCAGGGGGCGTGGCATATGCAAATAAGTTATACTAATACATTATGCTAATGAGCTCCTGCACCTCTTTTTCTACGAAATGACCCCTGGATACAATAGAGGTTTATAAAATTATGGATGGGGTGGAGAGAGTCGTCAAAGAAACTTTTTCTCCCTCTCCCAAAGTACTAGGACTTGAGGGCGTCCAATGAACCTTATGGGCAGTAAGTTCAGGAAGGACAAAAGGAAATACATCTTTACACAGAGCGTGATCGAAACGTGGAATTCGCTGCCAGAGAATGTAGTGGTGGCCAAAAGAATAAGCAGCTGTAAAGGGGGATTAGACAGATCCATGGAGGAATAAGTCTATCAATGGCTACCAGCCATGGTGGCTAAGGGGAACCTCCACATTTCAGAGGCACTAATCCTCTGAATCCCAGAGCCAGGAGGCAACATCAAGCGAAGGCCTCGGCCTCTCTGCCCTGTGGCTGGCCCTCCGGAGGAACTGGGTGGCCACCATGTGAGACGGGATGCTGGACTAGATGGACCCTCACTGGTCTGATCCAGCAGGGCTCTTCTGATGTTATCCTGTCTCTTATCCTTTCTTATCCTGTCTCTGACCTGTTGTTGGCCCTCTCCAGAGGAACTGGCTGGCCCCTGTGTGAGACAGGATGCTGGACGAGATGGCATCTCACTGGTCTGACCCAGCAGGGCTCTTCTGATGTTTTCTGCTTGTGGGTATTAAACTTAGAGGCATTTCTAACAGGGTGTGGTGGAGGGGGACAGGAAAGTCTTTCTGCCTGCAGAATGGGATGTGGGCTGAGCAGCTGTTCCTCCTCTGCCTGGAGGTATTCAGCCTGGACGTGGCCCGAGGTGTGGCCCTTTGGCCAGAGCTCCAGACCCTCAGCTCGTAGCCTGTAGCCCTGTGAGAGCCAGCCCGGTAGATCCCAGACTATCCACGGAGATACGCTGTATAGATCTGTTTTCCTTTGCTTGTCTAGATTATATTTTTCTATTATTTTCGCAAGGGGAGGGCCGGGGGGGGGGGGGGGGAAATGTGGGAGAGGAATACCAAAATAAAAACAAAGAGGGCTATGTGTATTTTTTCAAGTAAACCTCATAAATACGGAAAAGAGCTGAGTCAAGGATTAAGTCAATTCGAACACACGGGCGGAGGTGGCTGCTGTGTTTGGCAGCACCCCAGAAGCCTTTCGGCTGCCGTCTGTCTCAAAGGCAACAAGATCAGAAAATGGGATTTATCGTTTGCTAAGGAGAAGATGCCAGAGACCCAGCCAACTGACTCGGTCACCGGCGAAAGAGATCTGGGTGAGGTTTGGGTGCCAAGGGCAGGAATGAAGGAGCGGATAGAAATACTCAAGCGACCCACGCAGCACTCGGTTTCCAGTTTGATTTGGGAACTCTGTCTACCTTTGCCTGGTAGGCCTGCTGGATGGAACCAACCCTGCTCAGCAGAGGCAAAAAAAACCCACTGTGGATAATACGTTGAGTGAGTTCGATCCTAACTGGTTGTGCGAACCACAAAACCAGACAGCACAAGGAGGACTCCTATGCTCTACAAATTTTCCAACTGTGGTTCGAGCTAGTTCCTCAAGTTCTCCGGCATTCCAGGCTAGCCCGCCAGCCTTTCTCGAATCCCCCTACCTTTGAATTCCCAAATCCCCCTACCATCAAATCCTCAAATCCCCCACCATCGAATCCCCAAATCCCCCTACCATCGAATCCCCGAATCCCCCTACCATCGAATCCCCGAATCCCCCTACCTTTGAATCCCCGAATCCCCCTACCTTCGGTGCCAGCTCCGGGCTGTGCTGGAGGACCGTATACAAAATCTGCATGTTGTTGGGGTTCCTTGCATTGGACAACTCGTTGAAGATCACAGACTTGACTACGGTCCCCAGGTTGTCCCGGTGGGCATTCAGCAGCTCCCTGAGGGACGGGAAAAAATGGCGCTGATCAGCGATGTACATACCACAAATACTCCTATGGTGGGATCTACGACTATCCCAAACACCCGACACGACTGGGCCAGAGGAATCCCTCTCGATTTGCAACTACGCAGGTCGACCGGTCTCTTTCCCCATCGCTGACACCCTGGCTCCTTCCAAACCGGCCTCCCAGTGGGATTTCTGAAGGGGAAACGAGCCCCGTTCTCCCCACCTACCTGACGCACAGCATGTAGTGGTTCAGCAAAAAAAAGGCTTCAGGCGGATCTTGATTAGGTTGGAGACGACCTCCACGTCCTCGGAGCTGTGGGTGTTGCAGTTCATGCAGACCGACATGAGCAAGTCCTGGGCCGGTCTGGTGAGCTGAGGATCGGAAAGGGGGAGGCGGTTTACTCTCATCAATGTAAAAACCTCTTCCCCGTTTCAACAGGGATTAGAAAAATCAGTGGAGGAGAGATCTATCAGTGGCTGCTGGCCACGGTGACTAAAGGGAACCTCTACATTCAGAGGCGGTCAAGCTCTGAAACCCAGTGCCAGGAGGCACTAAGCAGGGGAAGGCCTCGGCCCCTGTGCCCCATTGTTGGCCCTTCAGAGGAACTGGTCAGCCACTCTGTGAGATGGGAGGCTGGTCTAGATGGGCCACTGGTCTGATCCAGCCGGGCTGTTCTGAGGTTCTTATCAGGGGAAGGCCTCTATGCCCTGTTGCTGGCGCTCTGGTTGGCCATTGTGTGAGAAAAGATTCTGGACTAGATGGACCCTCACTGGTCTGATCCAACGGGGCTCTTCTGATGTTCTTATTGGGTAATGCCTCAGCCTCTCTGCCCTGTTGTTGGCCATCCAGAAGAACTGGGTGGCCACTGTGTGAGACAGAATGCTGAACTAGATGGACCCTCACTGGTCTGATCCAACGGGGCTCTTCTGATGTTCTTATTGGGTAATGCCTCAGCCTCTCTGCCCTGTTGTTGGCCATCCAGAAGAACTGGGTGGCCACTGTGTGAGACAGAATGCTGAACTAGATGGACCCTCACTGGTCTGATCCAACGGGGCTCTTCTGATGTTCTTATTGGGTAATGCCTCAGCCTCTCTGCCCTGTTGTTGGCCATCCAGAAGAACTGGGTGGCCACTGTGTGAGACAGAATGCTGAACTAGATGGACCCTCACTGGTCTGATCCAGCAGGGCTCTTCTTATCTGGGGAAGGCTTCGGCCTCTATGCCCTGCTGCTGGCCCTCCAGAGGAATCGGTTGGCCACTGCGTGAGAGAGGATGCCGGACTAGATACGACATTGCCTGCGGGAGCCTTTGGAAGTCTGACACAGTATGGTCCTCAGTCACAAAATGGCTGCCACAGGAAGCCAAGCCAGCCGCAAAATGGCTACCACAGCTTGTCTTCAGAAAAACATACCGTAGACTCCGAACAATAATAAAACGTTAATATATAGTATATATATTCAAACAATTCACTAGAGATTCTATAAAGAAATATACAATGTTACCTGATAATAATTGCTAGTATTCATCTTCAACAGACTATGGAGAAATTTACATGAATTGGTAAAGAGAGAGCGGCGTTCCATTTAAGCCTGGCAGTGTTGATGGTGTGACTTTGGGAAGTTTTGACTGCTTCTGGGCAATTCTTGAGAAAGACTGTGAAATGGTCTGCTTACTGGTGCTCGGTTGGACCTGGCCCTCATCACCGCCCAAGCTGAATACTACCAATTATTATCAGACAATACTATATATTTCTCTAGTGAATCTCTACTGAATCGCTTGAATATATACATACATTTTATTATTGTTTGGGGTCTACTTTAGGGTACGTTTTCCTTTTATTTGCCTGCCTGGTCAGTTACTGTCAGGGGTCATTTCCAGGAGTGCAAAGGAGCGGAGCTCTGGCAGTAAAGAGCCCAGGGGGCGGGCACATGCAACAAGCCCCACCCCCTGCTCCCAGCAGCCCTCAGTCAGAGCAAGAAGCAGCCAGGTAAGTTGCAGAGCTCCTCCGGCCCCCCGAGGGACAGTCCAGTGGCACCTTTAAGACCAGGTTTTATTCAGGTACAAGCTCTCCTGCGAGGACAGATCTGCACGTCCCCCCCCAATAGCTAGCCATCCAAAACAGTCCAGTAGAGCCTGAGCAGTGGGTGTTGCCTTCTGACACACTTCCGGTGATGTCAGGGGGTGTGGCATATGCAAATAAATTATGCTAATGAGCTCCTGCACCTCTTTTTCTACGAAATGACCCCTGGTTACCATGGTCTGTTTTTGTCTTGCTTACAGCGTGTGTTCAGTTGCACAGTAAATAGCCTTGTGTTCTTGGGGCAGCTGCTGCAGAAACAATGCTTTTGAAAATCTGTACAGCCAATGAAATCTCCAGCGGCCAATCGGAAGCCCCGCTGGGGAAAAGATCCTTCTGGCTACACCCCCTTTCTCAGAACTCTTGACGGGCACCAGAAAAGGTGTCGGTGGGTGTGACGGCGCCCATAGGCACCCTGTCGGGGATCCCGGATGGGTCAAGCCTCTCACCTTGGGGTTCTGCAGCCACATCTCCAGCCTCTGCACGGCCATCTGGCGAATCTCCTTGTAGCCACATGTGGCCGTCAGGAGGCGCAGGAGGTTCCGGGAGACGCTGTCCATCGGCTGGCGCCGGTTGAGCTGGTCCCGCAGCATGTCCAGGACGTACTCCTCCACGCTCTCCGCAAGGTCGTCGTACCTGGGCCAAGACGAGCCGGGTTTTGCTTTTATTAAGGACGGCCCTATATGGATTGGGACCGAGGGAATCTGAAGGACCATCTTCCCCCCCACATTCCTGCCTGGGAATTCAGATCACAGGGAGAGGCCCTCCTGACTGTCCCACCAATCAATGAAGCTCGTCTGGTGGACACAGGAAACAGGGCCTTTTTGGTGGCAGCCCCACGATTAAGGAACGACCTCCCCAAGGAGGCACGCCGGACCCCCTCACTTCCGATCTTTAGGAGGCAGCGGAAGGAGGCTTCATTTAGGATTGTGTTTGATTAAAACAGTCCTAAATGGTGATTTTTCCAATTTTGGTTTAATGCATTTTTTATGTGCTCTGTTTTCTTTATATTGTAAGCTGCCTTGAGCTCCACAAGGGGGAGGGGGGGGCAATGAATGTTTCAAAACAATAAATAAATTAGATTGAACATTTTAAAGAACCCCTTCCTGAAAAATAGAGGACTCTCCAAGCAGATAGTAAACGAGCCTTCAGGCTCCCGCGGTTAAGCGAGATCCGGTAGTTCCTGAACCGCACCTGGGGCAGAAAAGGACTTCATACCTGGGCATGAGCTGGCCCTCCTGCTCCGGGCTCATCTTGTCTTCTGCAATCAGCAGCTCGCTCTGGCTGTCCTCTTCGTCGGGCACCGAGGGGTGCGGGCTGTTTCCTAAAAGCGGGCCCAGAATACACATACATCACATCACATGCCCACAGGGAGCGGCCTTAAACTGAATCAGACCATCGGTCCATCCAAGTCGGTGTTGTCTACTCAGGCAGGTAGCGGCTCTCCAGAGTCTCCGGTTGAGGTCTTTCTCATCACCTCCTACCCAATACTTTTTAACTGGAGATGCTGGGGATTGAACCTGGGACCTTCTGCATGCCAAGCAGAGGCTCTACCACTGAGCCACAGCCCCTCTTGACAGCTCTCCAGGGTCTCAGGCGAAGGTCTTTCCCATCACCTCCTGCCTGGTCCTTTTAGCTGGAGATGCCAGGGATTGAACCTGGGACTTTCTGCATGCCAAGCAGAGGCTCTACCACTGAGCCACAGCCCCTCTTGACAGCTCTCCAGGGTCTCAGGCGAAGGTCTTTCCCATCACCTCCTGCCTGGTCCTTTTAGCTGGAGATGCCAGGGATTGAACCTGGGACTTTCTGCATGCCAAGCAGAGGCTCTACCACTGAGCCACAGCCCCTCTTGACAGCTCTCCAGGGTCTCAGGCGAAGGTCTTTCCCATCACCTCCTGCCTGGTCCTTTTAGCTGGAGATGCCAGGGATTGAACCTGGGACTTTCTGCATGCCAAGCAGAGGCTCTACCACTGAGCCACAGCCCCTCTTGACAGCTCTCCAGGGTCTCAGGCGAAGGTCTTTCCCATCACCTCCTGCCTGGTCCTTTTAGCTGGAGATGCCAGGGATTGAACCTGGGACTTTCTGCATGCCAAGCAGAGGCTCTACCACTGAGCCACAGCCCCTCTTGACAGCTCTCCAGGGTCTCAGGCGAAGGTCTTTCCCATCACCTCCTGCCTGGTCCTTTTAGCTGGAGATGCCGGGGACTGAACCTGGGGCCTTCTGCATGTCAAGCAGAGGCTCTGCCACTGAGAAGGGGGAACACACCTTTACCACAGCTTCACGTGAGATCTCAGCTGAGCTTCTGTTCCTCCTCCGTTTGCAGGTAAGAAAAGCCCGACCATGACTAAAGGCACTTCTGCAAATAATAAAGGGCTCTGGGCTCTTACCCCACGGCTCTCAGACAGAAACCATAAAGCCAGCCAACAAAGTGGATTCAGGGCTCGCCTGGTATTGTTTGTACGTGCCTATTTAAATGGTATTTTCATATTTGTAAGCCACTTTGGGTCCTCTTTGGGGGAAAGTGGGAGGAAAAAAAATACCAACATAAACTTTGCTCAATGGACAGGCCACTCCCCCCCCCCTTTACCATAAGCACATCGGAGGAGCCCTGCTGGATCAGAACGGTGAGGGCCCATCCAGCCCAGCCTCCTGTCTCACACAGTGGTCGACCAGTTCCTATGGAGGGCCAACAACAGGGCACAGAGGCCGAGGCCTTCCCCTGATCAGAACATCAGAACAGCCCTGCCAGATCAGCCTCTCTTCTTCCCAATGGAGGCCCAAATCGGCTTATAACATTCTCTCTTCTGCTTTACATGCACAACGACCCTGTGATGTAGCAGTAGAAAACAGAAAGAGTCCAGTAATGAGACAGGAAACGTGGGTCTTGTTTCAGTCCAGGAGAGTGCACGGACCGAATTGAGACCTCGGTTTCTTGTCTCATTACCAAGGCTGATTTCTCCATGCCTACCACCCGTCTGCAGATCACACCTAATCCAATCACACCTGCTATTGTCATTCAGCAACTGAAACCACTCCACTCTCCAAGATATAAGGACAGATGTTCTCACGTTCTAGCTGTATCTGAAGAAGTGAACAGTGACTCATGGAAGCTCCTCCCCTGCCACGAATTTTGTCAGTCTTTAAGGTGCTCCTGGACCCTTGCTCTTTTCTACTGCTACGGACAGACAAACATCTTGTGATTTGGTTTGGCTGAGAGTGACCAGCAAAGTGGGGATTTGAACCCAGATCCTAGCTGACACTCCTAACCACTACACCTAACTGGTTCTTGTCTACTCTTCGCCCAGGACTGCCTTACCGGCGCTGAGGTCACCTCCGCTGCCACGCCCCACCTCCCCGTGGAGCAAAATATTCTTGGGAGGGATCTTGGTGCTGAACGCCGTCTGAATGTTGTCCACGAAGGTCTTGCAGTGCGGGCTGTCTACCCAGATACGCTCCCCCAGGGAGTCCTCAATGTAGACCTGCGAGGAAGAGAAAAGCCAAGCCACCTTAAGTGGTCGCGTCCAATAAGATTCAGGCCCATCTCAGTTTTTCCGATTGGGGGGACCTGCACATTCCAAGAGAGCCAGCACACGAACACCAGCACAGGTAAGGGGAAAAGCCAAAGGCCGACAGTGTCTACCTAGACAAATGTCGATTGACATAAAGGGCATCCACGCTTTTGGACCTGGAGGAGACTTTTGGACAAAGCCAGCCACTGACAAAGAATGCAGCGAGAACCAGAAAATCGACAATCCACACACAACGGCTGAATCCCCCAGTTTTATAAAGTAGTAATCTCTGGGTCAATACTCGCACATATACACACACTTATGCAAGCAAGTTAAGCATTCTATAAACATTGGGGAAGGGTTCTGGCTCAGTGGTAGAGCCTCTGCTTGGCGTGCAGAAGGTCCCAGGTTCAGTCCTTGGCATCTCCAGTTAAAAAGGACCAGGCAGCAGGTGATGGGGAAAGACCGCCACCTGAGACCCTGGAGAGCTGTAAAGAGGGGCTGTGGCTCAGTGGCAGAGCATCTGCTTGGCATGCAGGAGGTCCCAGGTTCAATCCCTGGCATCTCCAGTTAAACACAACCAGGCAGGAGGTGATGGGAAAGACCTCCACCTGAGACCCTGGAGAGCTGTAAAGAGGGGCCGTGGCTCAGTGGAAGAGCCTCTGCTTGGCATGCAGAAGGTCCCAGGTTCAATCCCCGGCATATCCAGTTAAAAGGACCAGGAAGAGGTGATGGGAAAGACCTCCGCCTGAGACCCCGGAGAGCTGCTGCCAGTCAGAGTAGATAATATCGACGTTGTCACACCAAGGGTCTGATTCAGGATAAAGTAGTTTCACGTGTGTACAGACGTCTCCTTCCTTGGCTGTACACCCCCTTCCTTCCCCACCCTCTCTTTCCTTGGCCGCACGCGGCTTGACTGCCCCCTCTCGCCCCCCCCCAATCCCGCCGCACCTTGACGAAGATCTCGGGCCAGTTTTCGTCCTCTTCGTAGGCCGCCATGAGGAGGTTGCAGGCCAAGACGGAGACCAGGCTGTTCCCCTTGGCCTTGAAGTTGATGGAGGCGTCTCGGCGAAGGAGGCTGCACAAGGCCTGCGGGGACAGAAGGGCCCCGTCAGGGAGAAAGAGCCCTCCGAGGTTAGCGGACAGCGCGGCATTTCAGCGGTTATCCTAAGCAGAAGCACTTGCGACTCTGCATGGGGAAGCAGTACGGTTCCCGGGAAGTTACTTTCCTTTACTGAGTGAAGGCAGAGAGAAACGGAGAACCCTGTCTGACGAAGCGTGCCTGCACTCGAAAGCTCACATCTTGAATACAAACTTGTTGGACTTAAAGGTGCCACTGGACTCTAACTTTGTTGGAGAACCCTGTTGGTCAGGGAAGGATGAGGTTATGAGCGACGATCAATTTCTTTTTCTTTTCAGGGAAACGATCCCTGAAATTGCTTCTAAGTCCTCGGCCTCTTATCTTTCAGTAATTCAGCAAAAAATAACAAAAAAAAAATTATAATTAGGGAGAGCTTAAAAGGAGGCACTAAAAGAGACTCCCTGGCTGAGACCAGACAGAGTGAACAGCCCTTAGCTATGCAGGCCATTGGTTTGGATTGATGTAGGGCAACTGCACATCTTTAAAGCATGAACGTGTAGATTCTTCTCCAGACGCTTTGTATTCTGTTATATGAGTAGCAACCCTCCAACGAGTCTACGGCCAATACGAAGGGAGAGGGAGAGGGGAGGCCTGCTACATTAGATCCAACAGAATTTCCACTTGGGGGGAGGAAAATTTTCACTGATCCACCCCCCTCCTGCTGTGGACCATTAGATCCCCACTCAGTGTGTTCCCCCCTCCCCACAAGAGCCATTTGGGTGGTGGCAAGAGGGGGAATGCACAGATGTTCCGCTCCACTGATGGAAATTTCTTCTGTGGGTGCACATTTTCCACAGGATCCAAGACACTGAACTCAGAGGATCATACTTCTAAGTAAATATTGAGTTGCCCATTCTGTTTCTGCCTGGGGAGGGGGCCATGGTACAGTGGCAGAGCCTCAGCTTGGCATGCAGAAGGTCCCAGGTTCAATCCCTGGCATCTCCAGTTAAACACAACCAGGCAGGAGGTGATGGGAAAGACCTCCGCCTGAGACCCGGGAAAACTGTAAAGAGGGGCTGTGGCTCAGTGGTAGAGCCTCTGCTTGGCATGCAGGAGGCCCCAGGTTCAATCCCCGGCATCTCCAGTTAAAAGGACCAGACAGTAGGTGATGGGAAAGACCTCCGCCTGAGACCCTGGAGAGCTGTAAAGAGGGGCCGTGGCTCAGTGGAAGAGCCTCTGCTTGGCATGCAGGCAGTCCCAGGTTCAATCCCCGGCGTCTCCAGGTAAAAGGACCAGGCAGGAGGTAATTGGAAAGACCTCCGCCGGAGACCCTGGAGAGCTGTAGAGGGGCCTGTGGCTCATGGTAGAGCATCAGGTTTGCATGCAGGAGGTCCCAGGTTCAGTCTAGTCGAAAGGACCAAGTCGTGAGTGATGCCAAAGACCTCCGCCTGAGACCCCGGAGAGCCGCTGCCAGTCTGAGTAGACAATACTGACTTTGATGGATTAAGGGTCGGATTCAGTATTAAGGCAGCTTCATGTTTGTTCAAAAATGTAATATTTCTGGAAAATGTGAAATTAAAGGTGGGGAAGACTATCGTTTTGAGGTTTGGAGTTTGGGACAAACTGCCTTGAAATGCAGGCTTAGAAACAGCAGATAAATTTTGGCCATTGTCATACAGTTGGTGTTTCTTTGGGGGGGGGGGAATCCCTTAAAAAAAACCACCACAAAATGCAATGCATATAACTTCACTGACCGTTTGACAAATGAAAATATTCTGTGGAAGTTTTTGTTTTAACATCTATACTTGGCTCATTAGGCTTGGGGAGGAGAAACAGGGAAAATATGACCCCACCTCATGAACCTTCTCATTTCTCATACGAACCTCAGAAGAGCCCTGCTGGGTCAGACCAGTGAGGGTCCACCTAGTCCAGCCTCCCGTCTCACACAGTGGCTGACCAGTTCCTCTGGAGGGACAAGAACAGGGCAGAGAGGCTGAGGCCTTCCCCTGATAAGAACACCAGAAGAGCCCTGCTGGATCAGACCAGTGAGGGTCCATCCAGTCCAGCATCCGGTCTCACACAGGGGCCGACCAGTTCCTCTGGAGGGCCAACAACCAGGGCAGAGAGGCCGAGGCCTTCCCCTGAGAAGATCCTCAGAAGAGCCCTGCTGGGTCAGACCAGGGAGGGTCCATCCAGTCCAGCATCCTGCCTCACACAGTGGCCAGCCAGTTCCTCTGGAGGGCCAACAACAGGGCAAGAGAGGCCAAGACCTTCCCCTGAGGCTGCCTCCTGGCTCTGGGATTCAGAGGCCGCCTGCCTCTGAATGGAAAACAAGTTTCCATCTTCCCCTCACCTCAATCACTCCCTCTGTGGCGAAGATGTTCGGCTTGATCTTGGCCAGGTACATCAGGCTCAGGTACAGGGTGGTGTCCGGTTTGGCCCGGTTCATCTTCAGCTGCTTCACGGCCCCGCACAACACCCCTTCGATCCGGTCATCGTTGCCCTCGGCTTCCGCGGCCTCGATCTCGTCCAGTAGAATGGTGGGGGCCACTGGGGAGGGAAGCAAATCGCGATAGGCTTCAAGGACCCTGGCGAGTGTGTGAACTCTCTGGCTCTTAAGGTTCGGTGGCCGTTTAGGAGGACACGGGCGCTTGACTCAAGCAGAGACAGGGAGACCGTTGTGAGAGATGCACCTCAAATATGGTCGAAGGGTTGCATGTACATTACACCAGAAAGCACATAGGTTATTTCACACAGTGCTTCATATCCACCTTGTGGATCCAGTAATGACTGACAGCACAAGGTGGTGGGAGAACCAGGTTCGGATCCTCCTTTTACCAAGCAAACTAGTTGGGTGTTCATAGGCCAGTCAGTCTCTCTCTCGACCTAGCCTACCTCGCAAGGTGGTTGTTTGTGAGGATGAAATGGAGGGGGAGAGAATGACGTTGTAGGCCACTTTGGGTCCCCTCCAGGGAGAAAAGGAGGAGAGGAGGAGGAGATTGGACTTATACCCTGCCCTTCACGACCCAAAGGTGTCTCAGACCTTACAAACTCCTTTCCCTTCCCCTCCCCACAACAGGCACCCTGTGAGGTAGGCGGGCCTGAGAGAGCTCTGACAGAAACTGCTCTTTTTCAAGAACAGCTGTGCCAGAGCTTGTGACTGACCCAAGGTCACATCAGCAGGTGCAAGTGGAGGAGGTGCGAATCAAACCCAGTGCTCCCAGATTAGAGTCCGCACACTTTACACCAAACTGGCTCTGTTGGGTACAAATATCGAAATACGTAAAAATGGATTAGGATAGAAAAAGAAGAAGACGAGACTGGATTCATACCCCAGCCTTCACTCGGAGTCTCAGAGCGGCTTACAAACTCCTTTCCCTCAACAGACACCCTGTGAGGTAGGCGGGGCTGAGAGAGCTCTCTCGAGGACGGCTGCTGAGAGAACAGCTCCGAGAGAACGTGTGACTGACACAAGGTCACATCAGCAGCTGCATATGGAGGAGTGGGGAATCAAACCCTGTTCTCCCAGATGAGAGTCCGCGCTCCTAGCCGCTACAACCAAAATGACTTGGGCAAAGAAAGCCAGCGTGGCGTACCAGTTAAAGAGTGTCAGGCTAGGATCTGGGAGACTCAGGTTCGGATCCCCACTCTGCCACGAAAGCTTTGCGGGTGACCTTGGACCGGTCACCCCCTCTCAGGCCTAACCTACTTCACAGGGTTGTTGTGAAGAGACAATGGAGGAGGGGAGAACGATGTAAGTTGCTTTGGTTCCCCGTTTGGGGGAAAAGTGTGGTCTAAATGAAGCAGATTCCTAAAGAGGGAGTAAAAAAATGACGCCGATGGCTTCTCCTTCCTCCTTACCTTCGATGGGGATCACAGACGGCTCCTTGATGGAGGGCGAAATGGCCCGCTTCTCGGCCACGGCGGCCTCGGCCAAGCGTCCCAGGGCACTGAGCGGGGGCGTGGAGGAAAGCTTGGGCCGCTTGGCCAGGCCGGTCAGCCCGGAAGGTCCGGCCAAGCTGGCCGCGCCGTCTCTCTTGCGCTCGGAGGGCAGCCCTGCCGAAGCCGGTTTGAGCAGAGCGGCGGCCACTTTCGACTCCCCGGCTTGGCCTTTGGAGCCCAGGGCAATGAAATCACCGGGCGGCGGGTGGCCTGGAGGGAGAAGGAGAAACAGAGAGGCGTCAGCGGAAGTGAGAAGTCTGGGGGATGCCTTTCGCCACCTTCCACGGGGAAAAGGGAAAATATACGTGTCCCTCAAAGACCTGCCTTTTAGATTACATTGTATTAATTTGGTGTTGATTGTTATGCACTTTGTTGTTACCCGCCCTAAGCCTGTTTGGCAGGGTAAATGTAAAGGTTTCCCTTGCTCGAAAGCCAGTTGAATCTGACTCTAGGGATGCGGTGCACATCTCCGTTTCCAAGCCGAAGAGCCAGCGCTGTCCAAAGACGTTTCCGTGGTCATGCGGCCGGCATGATTAGACGCCGAGGTGCACGGAACGCTGTTGCCTTCCCACCAAAGTGGTTCATGTTTATCTACTTGCAATATCTTGCTTTCGAACTGCTAGGTCGGCAGGAGCTGGAACTAGAGACGGGAGCTCACTCTGTCATGCGGCACTCAAACTGCCGATCTACCGACCTACCGGTCTGCAGTTCAGCGTCTTAACCCCTTGAGCCACCATAGTTTGGAAGGGCGGGATATAAATTTAACAAACAAACAAATAAACCTCAGTAAGAATTTCCTGACTATCAGAGTGGTTCCTCAGTGGGACAGGCTTCCTCGGGAGTTGGTGGGCTCTCCTCCTTTGGAGGTTTTCATAAGAACATAAGAGACGCCAATGTTGGATCAGGCCAAAGGCCCATCTAGTCCAACACTCTGTCACACGGTGGCCAAAAATACCAGGGGCCATCAGGAGGTCCACCAGTGGGGCCAGGACATTAGAAGCCCTCCCACTGTTGCCCCCCCCCAAGCACCAAGAAGACAGAGCATCACTTGCTCCAGAGCCCCTTTTGAAGCTGTCCATGCTTGTAGCTGCCACTTCCTGTGGCAGTGAATTCCATGTGTTAATCACTCTTTGGGTGAAGAAGTACTTCCTTTTATCCGTTCTAACCTGACCGCTCAGCAATTTCATGGGGTGCCCACGAGTTCTTGTATTGTGAGAAAGGGAGAAAAGTACCTCTTTCTCTACATGCTCTATTCCCTGCATAATCTTATAAACCTCAATCATGTCTCCCCTCAGTGACCCGTGAAGCAGTACAGAAATGCCATAATAGGATCCTACTTGCCATAAGTTGTGTGCGGCAGCATGGATCACAGTCCCTAGCCATTTATCCAAGCAAAATTTGTGGCTCACTTCAGAAGTGAGCACTGCAGGGACTCACGAAAGCTCCTCCCCTGCCACAAATTCTGCTGCTGGAGTCTGGCTCTTTTCTACAGCTACAGACAGACTCACACGCCTACCCAACCTGTCCTGTCTTCATTGATCCAAGCAAGTTTGTAAGACCTTTTTGAGCAGAGGAACCCTGTTGCCTGTGCTGAAAAGCACTCTCGGATTGTTCAGCCTTGCACAGCTTGCATAAAGCCCATTTACAGAAACCGCCCAAGGAAATAGAAGCTCCAGGGCCCCAGACCCTCAAAGTAGCCAAGTGTACAACCCTGGAGCCCCATTGGTAGAGCTATGGCCTTCTTGGGGCACCCTACAGGATTAGTAATAATGCTGTGTAGCCTTGGGCATCGAGCCCCCAGCCTATACCTGACCAGGGATGCCAACCTCCAGGTGGCACCTGGAGATCTCCCGCTGTTACAGTTGATCTTCAGGTCCCCTAGATCAGTTCCCCTGGAGAACAGGGCTGCTTTGGAGAGGGGACTCTGTGGCAATGTGCCCCACTGCAGTACGTCCCCTCCTCAAACCCCACCCTCCCCAGGGTCCACCCCCACCCCCCAAATCTCCAGGTATTTCCTTTCCCAGAACTGGCAACCCTGTACCTGCCTAGGCTTCGTAGCAAATCAAATAAATGGGGAACACAGTGTAAAAGCCGAACAACAGAAAAACCACTGTGTAAAAAGGCTTGTAATAACCATGCGATGCATTAAAATCGCCAACTATTTATTCAATGCAACTATCAAATATATAGACCACCCACATTAATCAATACGATGCGAAAATATTCTTCAGACAAAACATACGTTTTTAAAGTTAAATTATTTATTTAACACCATGTCTATATCATGTTAACATTCAGAATACCGATGAGAGCTTCTCAAGATTAACAATTAGTTGTACATCCAAAGCAAGCCATTACATTCAAGTATCATTAACTTAACAATAACGCAAATTCTTTGGTGCTAAACTTTTTCCTAGCCAAGTATTCTACTACTGGGAACCAGATAGCTTGAAATGGTTTTTTGGTAGCTTTCCAAGTTGGGCATGAAGGACTGGCTTGTAATGTTACCCAGTGTTCCCTCTAAGCTGAGTTAGTGTGAGCTAGCTCAGTTTTTTAGCCTCTGGCTCACACAGTTTTGTCTCAGCTCAGGAAGAGTGGCTCCAGAGCAAACTAATTTATGCAGGAGCCAAATCGCTCGCTCACAACTTCAATGCCAGTAGCTCACAAGGTAGAATTTCTGCTCACAAAACTCCACAACTTAGAGGCAGCAGTACATAAAAATACACACACACACAATTTTTTTTTGCATTGCATTGGTTAATGCGGGTGGTCTCTATGATTGATTGTTGAACTGTAACGAGCAGTAGATCATTTTAATGCATCAAGTGGTTATTAACCGCTGCAAAAACTGTTATTAGGTTCTCTGTGACAGTTTTTTTCGCACAGTGGTTCCCCTATCGTTAGGCTGTGGAGCAGCCTACCTTGCAAAGCTGTTGTGAGGCTTTGCAAAAAAGAAAATGGACCACGTGCACGCGCCTCCCCCTTTCTCCCTTGCGCGTCCACGCGCACGCCCCCTCCCCCGCCCACTCACCGGAGGGTTTGGCGACGGCGCTGGGGCGGCGCGCGGCCGCGGGCTTCGGCCGGTTCATCCTGCAACCGGGCTGGAGGTTGGTCCCAGTCGGGGGGCGCGCTTGGTGGGCGGGGCTACGAGTGTGACGTCAAGGGAAGAGGGGGTGGGATAAAAAATCCCACCCCCCCGACTCCCGTTCTACATTCGGCCGCCGGTTTTGTTAACCGGTTTCGAGAAAAGTAAAATATTCAGACCCCGGAAACGGAAGTAGAGCTTGCCCCTCCCCTTCAACCCGGAAGCCAAAAGAGCAAAGACGCGGCCGCGCCTGGTCGCGCTCTGCGCTGCGGTTGGCGCCACCTTTCGGCCGGAAGGTGGAACTTCGTCACGTCGGCGGCGAGGGAAGGGGAAAGCGAAGCGCCGCACTGCCACCCAGAGGCCAGAGAGGGTATCGTAGTGTTGTTGTGTTTTTTTAAAAAAAGGATTCCCGCAAGTTTTTATTCCAACAAAGTGTAATTCTGGGTATTAGCTTTCCTGGGCATGCAGTCTGCGTGCATGCACACGGAAGCTTACACCCAGAATCAAACTTTGTTGGGCTTCAGGTGCCGCCGGACTCCAACTTTTGTTCTGCCTCTTCAGACCGACAGCACCGCTACCCACCTGGAAATTTTATTTGTGAGAGTCATCAGATTGCACGTCATTAGATGCATCGTGTACAAACTCATTGCAGGCGTCTAGGTGTGGTGGAGGGATGCCGGTCTCCAGGTGGGGCCTGGGGGATCCCCCCTGAATTCCAACTCATCTTCAAACTGCAGAGATCAGTTTCCCCTGGAGAAAATGCATACTTTGGAGGGTGGACTCTATGGCCTTGTACCCCCACTGAGGTCCCTGTCCTCCCCAGGATCCACCCCCCAAATCTCCAGGAGTTTCCCCAACCTGAAGTTGGTAACCCTACGTGTTGTGTCCCAACAGACCGATCACACTGTCTCCAGAACAACCAGAGCTTTGCTCCCAGAAACAATAGGGACTCAGGATCCTAGAAACAGCTTATCGGCTAATCCGAATCCTCCAGGGAACCTATCTAAGGAGGTTAATGTAAATAAGCCAATCACGGGTGTGTGGGTGTGGGTGTGTTTGTGTGGGTGCGTCAGTCTCAGTGCTTTTCAGGATCTGACCCGCATTTCCCTGTCTCCCCCCCCCCCTTTCCTTTTTTCAGGTTCCCTTCCACAAAAACTACGATTCGCTCACGATGTGTGATGTCCGCCGGAACAGATGCCTGAATAAAAGCTCGGTAACCTTTAATGTACCACAAGCTGCCACCACCCGTTACCCTTGTAGGGTCGCCAACCTCCAGGTGGCGGCTGGAGATCTCCCGCTATTACAACCAATGTTCCCTCTAAGCTCTGGAGCCTTGTGAGCATAAATTCTGCTTTGTGAGCTACTGGCATTAAAGTTGTGAGTGAGCGATTTGGCTCCTGCATAAATTAGTTTGTTCTGGAGCCCTCCTTCCTGAGCTGAGACAAAAATGTGTGAGCTGGAGTCTAAAAACTGTGAGCTGGCTCACACTAACTCAGCTTAGAGGGAACACTGATTACAACTGATCTCCAGGCGACAAGAGATACTCCCCCTGGAGAAAATGGCCACTTTGGGAGGTGGACTCTGTGGCCGTAGACCCCACGGAAGCCCCTCCCCTCCCCAAACCCCACCCTCCACAGGGTCCACCCCCAAAAAATCTCCAGGAATTTCCCAACCAGCAGCTGGTAACCCTGCTTTTCAAAAGCTGTCAGACTCCCAGTGAGATCTAGAGAGCCCCTCGGATTGCAAGGGGTCGCTATCTAGTTAGGCTTGCCAGCCTCCAGGTGGGGCCTGGAGACCTCCCAGAATCACAACTGATCTCCAGAGGACAGAGATCAGCTCCCTTAAAGAAAACGACCACTCTGGCGGGAGGACTCTATGGCATTGTAGCCCGCTGAGCTCCCTGCCTTCCCTGAACCCGGCCCTCCTTAGGCTCCGCCCCCAAATCCCTAGGAATTTCCCCACCCAGGGCTGGCAACCATATCTCCAGACAACGGAGGTCCCTGGAGAAAATGGCTGCTTTGGCGGGTGGACTCCCTGGCATTCTACCCCGCTGAGGTCCCTCCCCTCTTTGGGGTGCTGGTTTGGCGTAGTGGTTAAGAGCGCAGACTCTAGTTTGGGAGAACCGGGTTTGATTCCCCACTCCTCCTCCACTTGCAGCCGCTGGATGACCTTGGGCAAGCCATAGTTCTCTCAGAGCTGTTCTCTCGAGGGCAGATCTCTCAAGAGCTCTCTCAGCCCCACCTCCCTCACAGGGTGTCTGTTGTAGGGAAGGGAAAAGAGCTTGTAAGCCACTCTGAGACTCCGAGTGAAGGGCAGAGTATAAATCCAATCTCTTCTCTCCTCCTCCTCTTCTTCTTCACCTGCTCTCCTCAGGCTCCAACCCCAAATCTCCAGGTACTTCCCAACCTGGAGTTGGCAAGCTTATTTTCAGGAGTCACTTGGGGTTCTTTGTAGCCACATGAGAAACAGAAATGCGTTAGCTCATTTGGCCAAATGTGTGATTTAGAGGGGCAGATTTAGAGGGGGCGAGTGAGGGTTGACAACCTCCAGGCGGGGCCTGGGGATCTCCTGGAATTACCACTGACCTCCAGACACCACCAATCAGTCCCCCCGGCTGAGAGAGTGACTGGCCCAAGGTGTCGGCCTGGTATGCGACCACAATAAAAAAAGGCAGATGCTCTACTGGGGATTATTAGGAAGGGGATTAAAAACATATCAGCCAGTATCATAATAGGTAAAGGTTTCCCTTGCTTGAAAGCTAGTCGAATCCGACTCTAGGGGGTGGTGCTCATCTCCGTTTCCAAGCCGAAGAGCCAGCGCTGTCCGAAGACGTTTCCGTGGGCATGTGGGCAGCATGACTAGACGCCGAGGCGCACGGAATGCTGTTGCCTTCCCACTGAAGCGGTCCCTATTTATCTACTTGCAGTTTCTTGCTTTCGAACTGCTAGGTTGGCAGGAGCTGAGGCCAGAGACGGGAGCTCACTCCGTCATGCGGCACCCAGGTCTCAAACTGCTGAACTACCGACCTTCCGGCCTGCAGCTCAGCGTCTTCACCTCTGAGCCGCCACAGCTCATAATACACCTGATTAAAACTAGGGTGCAGCTTCGTTTGGAATACTGTGTACAGTTCTCATCACGGCACCTCAAAAAAGATATTATAGCACCAGAAACGGACAACTGAAATGATTAAGGGAATGGGACACCTTTCCTATGAAGAAAGGTGAAAGAGGTCGGGGCTCTTTGGCTTGGAGAAAGGACGATTGAGGGGTGACACGATCGAGGTTTACAAAGTTATGCATGGGATGGAGAAGGTAGACCAAGACGTCCTTTCTTCCCTTTCTCACAATCCAAGAACTTGTGGGCATGAAAGGAATGAGCAGTAGGCTGAGAATGGATAAAAGGAAGTTCTTCATCATCCAGAGTCATTAATACGTGGAATTCACTGCCACAGGAGGTGGCAGCAGCTACAAGCCTGGACGGCTTCAAGAGGGGATTGGATAAACATCTGGAGCAGAGGTCCATCAGTGGCTATGAGCCACAAGGTATAGATAGGAACTCTTGGTCTGGGGCAAGGGATGCTCTGTATTCTTGGTGCGGTGGGGAGGCAACAGTGGGAGGGCTTATGGTGTTCTGGCCCCGTTGGTGGACCTCCTGATGGCCCCTGGGTTTTGCCCACTGTGTGACACAGAGTGCTGGACTGGATGGGCCATTGGCCTGATCCAACATGGCTTCTCTTATGCTCTTATGTCCTGGGCAGTGATGCTCTGTATTCTTGGTGCGGTGGGGAGGCAACAGTGGGAGGGCTTATGGTGTTCTGGCCCCGTTGGTGGACCTCCTGATGGCACCTGGGTGTTGGCCACGTGACACAGAGTGTTGGACTGGATGGGCCATTGGCCTGATCCAGCAGGGCTTCTCTTGTGTTCTTATGTCTGGGGCAGTGATGCTCTGTATTCTTGGTGCTGGGGGGGGGTAGAGTGAGGGAGCTTCTGGAGTTCTGGCCCCACTGGTGGACGTCCTGATGGCCCCTGGTATTTTCAGCCAGTGTGTGACACAGAGTGTTGGACTGGATGGGCCACTGGCCTGATCCAAAAGGGCTTCTCTAACGTTCTTATGTCTCTCTCCCCCCACCCCGTTGCAGTGTCTGTCCATATAGTACAGTCTTTGGTTTTTCTCATTCTCGAGGGGTTATCAGAATGAAAACTCTGGGTCTCCCACCAATAGCTCCTCAAAATGATGGTTTCCAAGGCATTCTGGGTAAGAGGTTCCCCGGTGCTTCGAAAGAATCCCCCAATGCAAAGAGCAGTCATGACAGACAAGATTGGATTTACACCCTGCTGTTCACTACCCAAAGGTGTCTCAGAGCGGCTTACAAACTCCTTTCCCATCCACTCCCCACAACAGACACTCTGTGAGGTAGGTGGGGCTGAGAGAGCTCTTGACAGAAACTGCTCTTTTTCAAGGACAGCTCTTGTCAGAACTGTGGCTTGCCCAAGGTCCTCCAGCAGGTGCGAGTGGGGAATCAAACCCGGTTCTCCCAGATTAGAGTCCACACACTTAACCACTACACACAAACGTGCCTTCCGCTACCCCTGCAGGGTGGCGCATCGGGGAAGCTTTGGCGTGTTCTTGACTGGACTGTTAAGTCGCAGCAAGTCACGCCAACACCTGGGTGGAACTCAATCGATTCCCCCTGAATCCTCTGTGGCACACAGGGGTCCCACTACAGACACGCAGGGGGTTCTCTGACAGATGGGTCGATGTGGGGCTCTGCAGGTCAAAGAAAATTGAAAATCTGCTGCCGGGGGAAAATCAGCTCCGTGGGACGGCCCTCGCCCTTCTCCAAAGAACCACGCCTCGCCGTCTCAGTTTTATCTCTCATACTTTATTTATCGACACAGAATCCATATAGGAAAGAACAAATCTAGCAAAGGCATTTTGATAAAAACAAACACCAAACATTCCCAAACCCGCCCCCCCAAACACCCCTCTTCCACTTTTATGGTTGCCAACCTCCAGGTGGCGGCTGGAGATCCCCTCAGATTACGACGGACCTCCAGGCAACAGAGATCAGTTCCCTTGGACAAAGGGGGCCACTTTGGAAGGTGGACTTTACAGCATCATACTCCACTGAGCTCCCTCC